CAATGCCTTCGGCACTGATGGAACGGCATCGTAACTGCATACACTGAGAGAAAAATGTGGAACATATGCCAGCTTTAGTAACATCGATTTAACGCCCAATTGGCGCCGTAAGCACTTATTTGAGCTAATGAATTAGTTGAAACAATCGATTTTACGTCTTTACATAAGAAGTGTAAAAAATTAAGTAAACACATTTTGTGTTTTTATAGCTTCACTTATGTGTTATATAACATAGAACACAAAACATGGAATTTACATATATATATATATATATATATATATATATATATATATATATATATATATATATATAAATAGAACAGATTTCGTCAAGCACGCTTATTAATAGATTAATAAGTGGCTGCACTGATAAGAATTGTCAGATAAGCTCGAAGCCATATTTTGAAAGACATTTTTGTTTGTTATGTAAGCAGATTTCATAACAAAAAGAAATCAATCTGAAATTTACTTGAGGAAAACATTTACAATGGTGCTGGGTAAATACACATAATCAACAAGGATTGTACTTAAAAAGTTAAGTTAAGTTAAGCTTTGTTATGTGTGATTTTTCAACGAACGTCACTGGCAAAAAATATACAAAGTTGTTAACTAACTAACTATATATGTTAGTATATATATTTACACTGATGTGTTTATAAAAATATAGAAAAAATCCCATAACTTTCAGTCAGAAGTCATTTTAGACAGATGCATTGACAATCGGAGTTCATAGAAATAGTAGTGGTGGTTAAATGAAGTCGATAAAAATAAATAATAGTATAAAAAAACAGCAAACATAATTGTTATGTTTTAATGATTGACATTTATAAATTAGTTATTTAATTAATTATTTAATAAATTATAAATTATATAAGTATATAAATTTAAAGTTAGAAACTTATTCTTAAAGACACAAATATTATTACTTATTGCAATCACAAAATTTGTGGATTTATTTTTGGACGAAATCCACAGATTTTTTTAGGGAAATATTGTTTTTTCCTTTATTTTTTTTAACATTTTTCTAAAATCATTTGATTTTAAATATGATTTCAACTACTTCTATAGACAGTACATATTTATTTCAACTACTTCTATAGACAGTACAAAGAGTTTGAGAAACGTAGGCATACTCTCGGCTTTGGCAAGTGTATGCTTATATTATTGAAGATGAAGCCAATGAACGCTATCGCACGCACCTAGCTTTGGCTCACTGGACCCACAAGAGTTGCATTGTTGGTTTTTCTTGTTATTATTGCTACAGCTGCTGATGTTGCTGATGCTGTTAATTGCTGTTGCTGTTGCTGTTGTTGTTGGCAACACTTCTTGCTCGTTGTGCGTTCAATGGGGGTAAATGCTTTGTACACATGCGAGTCGAGTGCTCTAAGCGCTGCTATGTTAAGATGGCAGCAGAATTGAAGTCAAAGCAAACCAGGCATAGAGCAAGAGATCGGCTCCGACCTTCCATTTACACATCGAGGCACACACACAGACACAGAGTGTGATTCACACACAATCACGAATAATCAAGAAGCAGTTAATTGAAGAAACAAAATATCAGCAATTCCAATGGACGATGCTGCAAATACTCAAAAAAAAAAACTCTGCTGCAGCTGTCTCGGCTTCTATGTATACCTCGCCCTCTCACTCTCACTGTACCTCGCCCTGCCTCTATATCTCTCTGGCCATAAGCCTGGCACTCGCACTCAAATTTGCGTTTTGAGGTTACCCTAGCAACAACTCAACAGACAACAAATTTAATTCGCGCAGCAAATGCTCAACACAAAATAAAACTCAAGCAAAGAATCAGCCTCAACCTCAAAAACAGCTGTTAACAGACAACAGCAAAGCATAATACGAACAAATGTAGACACACACACACACAAACACACTCACACACACAGATATGTATATGCATGTATTTAGCTGTACATGCAGCTTGGCACCAAAACAAATCTAATTTGCAAATGTTTTACAAATAAACATTTTTTCTTTTGCTGTTTTAATTTTAGCTCGACTGAAGCACGTATTAACCATGCAGATTGAGTTTTTCTTAAGGTTTTTTTATCTTACAAATAAACAGTCCTAATTTAATGTCCTTCACAGTGTCAGCTAACGGACTAACGAATTATTGATTATTAAACACAATTCGTTTAGCTCATTAGCTGACCTTGACTAGTATTTGAGAGTCGAACCCTTCTACTGGCCCAAACAAGTGCTTGAGAGTTCATTAAAAATCCTGTTTCCTTCTATACATACATACATACCTATCTCAATAGCTTGATTTATTTAACTTAAATCACGAGTAGAAATATTGATTTTTATATATTAGATTGTGCTTCATCCTTGGACGGGTCGTTCAACTTTTGCAATCCGTGATTTTATTCTGGTTTTATAATCTAAATTGAATTTCACTTTAATTTTCAAGTTTGCTTCCTGCTTCACCAATCTTAAATTCTGTTAATTCTGTTTTCTAGTCATTTCTAGCTGATTTGCCGTTGTCACAAGTCATCATATTGTCAATAAATAACACTTCCAAAATGTTTTCCTTTTCTTTCCAATTTATTTCCAATTAAAACTAATTTTTGCTTAAATTTGCTGGTTCCTTTTGAATTTAAATTTTTAAAGAAATTAGCTATGTGGTTTTGAACTGGTTCTTTTCGGCAATTTCCTGTTTCGAGTAAGCCGAAATCCTGTTTCATCACTTTTCATTTTTATTTTCAACAGTATCTTAAGTATTTCAGTAATATTTGATAATATAATGTTATTTTATGTTAACAAGTTCGAATAAAATTCAGCCCCAAGTGATATGACATTATATATCAATTATGTATATATATATATAAGTTATATGTACAGTCATCTGTTTCCTTGTCGCTCTGCTAACCAATGTCGCACTGCAAAATTTTACAATTTGCTATCGTATTTTAAGTACGTCAACATATTCTTTTGCCCGACCAACACACATCCATCAAGTCATCCATCTCCGATCACGTAGCGTACTTCACAAAATACGTATTGTTGTGACTCTGAACGTAAAGTGGCACTTGGACTTCGGCTAAGCAAATACATACGTACATGCATATAAATGTATTTATGTATACATTTACCACATGCGTATGATATTATGTGTTTTGGATCTTATTTTTGGAATAAACAAAAGCAACGTCAAACGACATACAGCAAGAACAACGACAACAACACCAACATTACCAGCCAACTATAAAAGAAATAAAGAGTTGGCCGAGCAAGAAAAACCAGTTTCATTTGCTAGAACATGTTGCACGCTTGACGAATGAGATCGAGAACGAGATCGGAGCTAGTTCGCTCAATATGGTGCACTAGTTTCTTTTGACTGCAAAAGGCACCTTTTAATATATATATATATATATATATATGTGTGTGTGTGTTCGTATATTTAAATACATTTATGTGTGTACATAAAAAAGCATATTTAGCCCAGGCAGCAGGCTATTTTGGGATATCTTCACACACACAACCAAGTTGCTTCCTGCCAGAGCGCAAACAACAGCAGCTACGCCATCAATCGGTTGTCGGCACAAATGACACATTTTCGGAACCAGAAACAGCGCCAGAACCGAGAGCTGAGAGCCGAGCCCAGTCAGGAAGTCTAAAAATGAACAAAACCGGTGCGAGTCGAGCCTTTCTGAGATTCTGTGCTGGTGATTGAACGCACTCAAGGATAACTGACAGCAAACACATGCATATGCGAGCTATATATACATATATATATAGGTATGTAACGCCCCTTGGTGGGCGTTGCTGCCGGTGGGAATGTGTATGTGCGAGCGGACTAAGGCACAATATCGGCCTAAACAAGTTGACGCTTTTGACAATCGCGGAAGCGTTTAACAAAACCAAACGCAACGTGATCTCAGCCGTTAATTTTATGTGTTTGCATTAACATGTTAACACAAGCACAGCCGAAAAACGCTCAGAAACGTGGCCCAAATGCGAATCGACATTATGATACATAAAAAAAAAATATTAATATATTTAATAAGTTAGCTAAAAATACTCGGTTAGCCATAAAACAAAAATCGACGGGAATTTTGTTGTCTTTGTGTCTTGCTTGTGTCTGCCGCTGATAAGATAACGTAGCAGAGGAAATGAATCAATGCGAAATGTAACTGAAAACTGTAAAATTAGTTTTTCTAATGTGTTTAGACACTATGACAATTTGTTTAATTTTTCTTTATTTTTTTTTTTTTCATTTAATTTGATTTAGTCTCAAGTTTTTCCAGTATAATTGTCTTCAGACAAAAAAAACGAACCTACAAAATATTTTAATTAAGAATACAATACATAGCAATCGATAACATTTTAGTTTAACATACATCTAACATAATTCTAATGTTCCAACGATCCATATATTTACTTGTCAAAAATACACAAAATACTTGTAACATGTATATTTACAAATTAAAAGATATATAAATACAATTGCCTTAAAACAAGCAAATTCACATGCACACACACATGTACATAAATAGTTGCAGGGCAAACGAAGCCAAATGCAACAGCGCAATTGCAGTGCGCCAATGTCAAGCCAATGTAGTCAAAGCTTAAGAACTTTATTATGCATAAAGCGTGCCACAGTCGCAGGGAGCTTGCGGTGTATACAGCTACAAGCTCACACATACGCAAACATAGCTGCGTGTATTTATGTATGTCATGCGTATGTATATACATTTGTATTTGATTGTGTTTTGGCTGTGTTGCCGAGCAAACCACACTCTCTCTCTATGTTTCTCCCAGCTCTGTCTCTCGCTCTCTCAGCTTGATAGCAGCGCGCGTATGTGTGCATATGTTTGCGAGTGTGTGTGTAGAATTTTATTGATTAGTCACAAGGCTGGCAGCACTGCAGCAGCAGCTGAGTTCTGCTATGATTTTTACTTGCAAGTTGCAGTTAGGCCGTCACCCACGCATCCCAGACAGTGGTAAAGGCAGCCATTGGCATTTGCAGAGCAGGTACTTACCTTCAATAGGGGCAGGTTGTTATCGCGTGCAGCATTGAATATGATGAATTTGTCATCCATTTTCGAATTTGTGTTTGCTGTCGACTCAATATTACATAAATAACAACTTTTAAGCCTCACTCAAAAATTTTGATTTCTTTTTAATTTATATGTTTAGCAAACAGCCAAAAAATTATTTGATTTTAATAAATTTTCTGCCGCTGCTTTCGTCGTTTGGTTGCGAGATTGAGATTTTTCACTGCCTGCTGTGGATGTTGTTGTTATTGCTGATGTGAACTGCTAGTAATTTATTTGTATGTATGTATGTATTCCTCACACAAAGAACTTTCAACCGAAAATAAATATACAATTCTTTCAATAATTGCACAATTATCGTCAGTTCTGCGTTTTTATTGCTCTGCTTCCGTGTTTCGGTGCATTTTTCTTCTTTTTTTGCGCACTCTTCTTCTTCGATGGCAGCGGCGACAGCGGCCAAAAGCAGGAAGACCAATTTCTTTGTGCTATTTCTCTTTTGTTGTGTCGGTTCTGTTGCACGGCGCGGTAAAAAATCTACTGCATTTAAATTAAGTCGCGCCAATTTTCAGTCGTTAGCACTCTGCGCCAGCTAAGTTTCTTGCGTTTTATTCTTTAATATAATTTTTAAAACACACAAACAATCACAAGCGGCACAGTCGCGCGACGTCACGCACGAACAAGAAAAATATTACTGAAAAAAACTCTGTTAACTTTTTCTTATAAGAGTGATCGAATAACATTGTAGTGATGGGAACGTGAGCGAAATAGCCACACTGGTATTCTCACGCCAAGCTGTCACTCTCAAAGGGGACGGCTTCTTCTGGTCTCCTACTTCGCATAATTTTAAGCCGATGATTTTTCTTAACATAATGAATAAAAATTAAACAAAAACTTTAAATAATTCAGTATTGCTAAAAATGATTTATGCAAGCCAAAATATAATCCAATAATGTAGCATCCTTTTCACATTAAACATCGTGGACCATTAGTAGATAGTATGTTAACTCAATCGATGTTCTGTCAAGTTTACATACCATGTTAAAATGTTTGATTATTCACATATCGAAATGCTGAGCCGAGTGCATTGGTTATCGCTACTGCATAGTTATCGAAAATTTCGTAAATATTTAAATGTGTACCGCGAAAGCATAACATGAGCATTGAATTGATAAACATGTTAACTACTTCTCTATTTGGTTGTAGGAAAAAATTCATATCATCTCGTACTAACATTTGATAATATAATGGACCAGCCACAAATTAAAAGCGATAACATTTATTAGTTACATTCAGAATACACTGAAAAAAAAACAATGCAACACGCCGTTTTACATTGTTAACCACAACATCGTTAATTTTTTAATGAACTGAAGGCTCGCGAGTACATTAAGAAATTCCAAAATCATATAAAAAGCGTTTTTCTATTTTACAGCCAGTTTTTCTTCAATCCTATGTTGACATTGTGTGCCTCGCTGTTATTTGTTGTTTGTCGCTTGTACATGCACTTCGGAAAACTACTTATCAAAATTGTTATTGCTGCAGCCGCTGCCGAAATGTTGCTTGTTTCACTTGTATCCACTCCATTTGCAAAGCGTAATAAACGATGCCTATAAGATTGACAACATTTGTCAGTATATGAATGAAAACGGCTCAAGGGATTTGTAGTTTCTTTACGTTTTTAGAGTGTTTATTAAAAAATTAATAATTTGTGGTTCATCAAGAAGCGTCCCCATTTTTATTGTGGCTTCCTACGGAACGAGCAGCCTAAAATTGAATTTAACATATTAGTGTGATAGGTTAACAATTATTTAAGATTATTCTTTTACCTTCTGTGAGCTTGGCACGTCCTCCAGTTGGCTGGCACAGAATGGTGGCGCAACCAGCACAGACCACAACGCCCTGGGCGTGACTGAACACAGTTGTGATTCTGTAGCAACCGGGGCACTTGACATCCATGAAGTAGGAGTTGGGGTGCTGCACCAAGCGCTTTAGCTTGTGCTTGCGTTTCTCCTCAGCGGGCAGAGGGTGCAGTAAATCTTTTGCTAGCTGAAACGGGAAACCAAACAAAACAAGTTCACTATTAGGAATGCGTCACATTAAAATAACAGCAATAACATTATCGGTTTCACAATATAATTTAATATCGTATTTCACAACTGTCTGCAATCAACTAAGGTAGACGGTGATGCGCGCGTTTAGCATGCGTTGCCAACGAACGCACAGATTGCAAGGTGTTGAGGCACGCACTGTTTTATTTGCACAATTCATGTATTGTCACAGTAAATGCATAATTTTTATATACTGCGATACAACGCGAGCGCTATTACGTGGGTTTTCTGTATGCATTTGCAAATTTTCTTTGTTTAAAAGCTTATTTTTGTACAAATTCGCACCCACCGGCATGTTTTTTCTTTCACAGCTAACACGGAAAAGGAAGTCAGCCAAATCGCAGCCAACTTAACAAACGATAAGGCACTAAAAAACACCTACTTAATTTCTAACACAGTTTGGTATTTTCTATTTAGACCAGGGTGGCAGTTCAGTCTTAATCGTTCTGGCGCCTTTTTAGCACTGGCATCTCATCGACATTTTAGAGCACTTTCGTCTGACAGAAGTAACAAAGCGCAGTAATATTAAAATAAGCAATGTCGACGCTTGAATTATGTGAAAAGTACTTTGCGACCCGTGATGTGTACAAACTGATGGGTATTGCAAAGGATGCCAAAGAAAAAGATATCAAAAAAGCCTACCACAAGCTGTCGCTACTGGTGCATCCCGACCGAGTTCCCGACGCGCAAAAGGACGAATCGACCGAGAAGTTCAAAGTGCTCTCTAAAATATACCAGGTGTTAACCGACACACAGAAGCGTGCAATCTATGACGAACAGGGCATCATCGATGACGATGACGAGGGCAAGCTGACAAACTGGCTAGACTTGTGGAGCAAGATATTCAAGCCGCTGTCCGAAGAGGACATCAGCAACTATGAAAAAGAATATGTCGGCTCTGACCTGGAGCGCACAGATATCAAAAAAGCATATTTGGGGGGCAAGGGCTGCATCAACTACATCATGAATCATGTGCCATTCATGAAAGTTGAAGACGAGCCCCGCTTCAAAGAGATTGTGGCCAGCATGATAGCAGCCAATGATGTCCCCGAGTACAAGATATTCACGGAAGAGCCGGCCGCCAAGCGTAATAAACGACACAAAAAATATGCTCGCGAATCGAAAGAGGCGACTATTATCAAGGAACGCATTAAGCGCCGGCGTGAAAAAGACGCTGAAGCAGAACAAGAGATCTCCGACAGTGGGAATCTGGAACAACTTATATTGGCGCGCAAAAATAGCCGCGAATCGAACTACAATTCCCTTATGGATCGATTGCTGGAGAAGTATGCGGGAGAAGATGATTCCGACACAGTTGACTTTAGCAGCTTCGACAAGAAGAAGAAGCTGAAGGCAAAGACCGCGTCAAAAAAAACACAGAAATCACCTAAGACAAATAGTGTAAAGAAAGGACGGGTAGAGAAGCCAAAAGTTTAAACGCATTGTTTTATCAACTCAAAATTGGTTTAGTTTTAATTATATCTACATATACGTACTGATATTAATAACAATAAAAAAAAAAAACAAAGCAAAAGTGCTCTAGTCGGGAGTGCCCGACTACGAGATACCTTTAAAACTGCGCAGAACTCAATCGTATCACTAGGCATTTTTTATATCTCTGTCGATATCGACAATCAGATACATCTGCATGTCTCAGAAACTGTTTTCTGTGGGTCAGGGTATAGAAACAATTCTCTTATTCAATTTAACAATAAATAAAAATAATTAAACAATAAAATAAGAACTGTGTCGCATTTATAATCGTTTTTTTGTGCCACCGTTAATGTTATAATTTAAACCTCTAGATTATTTTGCAAATATAATTTTTGAGCTGCATACTAATTGTAAGAGATGGCATTCGGAGATGCCAACTTGCTTGAAACTAAACGCCATTTCTTGCCTGAACAATCTATCGACCATCTATCGTGAACAGTAAACAAAATAAAAATTGTTGTAAACTCAGTTAAGAGTAACTTAAACAATCATTTACATCTGTGCAACGTCATCCGATGGACATTATAAACAAGATGCCCTTTGATGCAAGTAAATGTCGTGTTTGTCTAAGCGAATTCGACACCAGCGCCATGCAAGCACTTTTTACAAACAATAAGGAAGTCGATAAACCCAATGCTGATGCAGGAGATGAAGAACCGGAGGACACCAATAATGACAAGCAACCTTTGAGTAGCAAAATTGAGTACTGTTGTGGAATTAGGGTAAAGCCAAAGACACAAAAAATTATCATACACAAATATGTTCTATGAGCCAATTTACAGATTCGTCAGGCGTCGCACTTACCATCCAAAGTCTGCGAGAGATGTTGTGATTTTATAAGCATGTGGTTCAGCTTTCGGCAGATGTGTCTGAATTCGCAGGTGTACTTGGAGAGTACGTATATCCATGATGAGAAACCCAACGATCTAATCGATGCCAGCGACACAGAATATATGGAATATCTATATGAGACGTTGCAGTTGGCAACACTGGATCGCTGCCAAACGAGTGAAGCGCTCCAATCTGGCGACTCTCCAGAGATAGAGAGTGATTATGTTGTGGACTATGACGAGGAAAACTACGTAGCTGACGCAATGCCCTCCGTTGAGCAGGACGATTGCTCCAAAAATAATATGCAAGAAATACTAACTGAACTGGAGACATACGAAGCAAATGAGGACGTACCAATCGAAGTCGAACCAAGTCTGATTTATGCAGATGAAGGTCAAGCAGCTGAAGTTGACTTACCGCTTAAAGTGGAGGATTGTGAGGTAGATTATTGCGAGGACAACGATGATTTTCTATCACCAACGCCCTCGCCTGAACCACAACCAAACAACGCAACGGTCAAACGCAAACCAGGCCGCCCACGCAAATCAGACAGTGAGCTTAAATCGAAACGAAAGAACAAAAGCGATGCACACTCTAGAAACGAGCACCCAAGCGAGGATGTGCCCACAAAATACATATGTAATCTCTGTGGCAATGTGTATCCGAAGAAGGCTGCATTTACAGCCCACATGATGGCACACACCGACTACAAGCCGCATCAATGCGAGTAAGCTACTTTTGGTCCTATAACAGTACATGAGATATTTCTCTTATATATAAATTTAACGTGTTTCAGAATCTGTTGCAAGTCTTTTCGCCAAATGGGCGAACTGCGCGCGCATATTCGACGTCATACTGGAGAACGACCCTACAAGTGTTCGTACTGTGATCGTCACTTTTATGACCGTAGCGAAAAGGTTCGACACGAACGAGTGCACACTAATACGAGGCCGTATGAGTGCAAGGAATGCGGCAAAACCTTTACGCACACGGCTATATTGAAAAATCACAGTTTGGTTCACTCTGGCGAGAAGAACTTCAAGTAAGCATAGCCTAAACTTTTGTCAATACGTAAATATAAAATTTGGAATATCTTTTCAGCTGCAGCGTTTGCTCCAAGTCGTTTACCCTACTGCACCAGCTGAAGGCACATTTGCAAACGCTGACACACAGAAGCAAAGAGAATCAATCTTTTACCAGCTCCAGTAACTCCTATATACTTCACACTGAGTAATTTAAGCTAGACTTCAGTTATTATAAATATAATATTAACAAATCATTTTATCTATACTGAACATTTCGTACTGTCCCTAATTTGTAGACAAACCAGTATATATGGTATATATACTTAATATAAATATCTTATATTTATCCCATTTGCTTGAAATTCTTTTGATATATGTTGATTTTTTTTATAGAATATTCAATTCAATGATTTGTCAAAAGCTAACAGAAAAGCTACCATAGGAGCAATTTATGTATTAATCAATGAAAATTGGAATTCAAACAACAATTAGCTGCTGGAATAGTCGCCATCATCCTGATTGTACAACGTTATGCCTACTTCATAGCGATGAATATGCGTCCGTTCATGTGCCTTTAGCTGATGTGGCAGACGAAATCCCTTGTTGCAGGTCAGGCATTTATGTGGCTTTTCCTTCGAATGAGAGAGGAAGTGCGCTTTTAATGTGGTCGATAACGAGAAGGTTTTGGCACATATGTCACAGGCATAAGGTCGTTCATTTGTATGCATTCTGTAAGTAATATTACAATAGATATTCAACAATTTTAAATGAGATATTAAACTCCATATTGCACACCTTTCGTGCTTTCGATGAGTGCTGCGATCCGCGAAACGTCTACTGCAGTGGGTGCATTCATAGGGCTTTTCGCCCGTGTGGGTGCGCATATGGGTTGTTAGATTGCAGGCGGCGTTAAAGCGCTTGGAGCACAGCCTAGAAGCAAATACGTATTATTTGATGTTAGCATTGTGCTTGGCTGCACTTACTCGCACTCGTAATTCTTTTCATTGCGGTGAGTGCGCAGATGCGACTTAAGCTGCGTTTGATTTGGAAACGAATTTCCGCACATGGCACAGCAGTGCCTGGGGAAATTAGATGGCTCACATGCCGCACCTAAGTCGACAACAGTAAGAGAAGCTGCAGCTGAATGTGGCTCTTCCATTTGTAATTGTTTCAACTTTAGCGTAGGTTTTTCCTCAGACTTTGGCTGAACGTCTTCAGTTTGATTTGAAAATTGTGAGGTCGACTCCTTAGCTGCCGCTCCAACAACAGCATAGTTAACTTGCTCTGAATAATCGTTATCGTATTCATCATTATTATCATTATCACCCACATCAGTTATGATATATTCATTGCCTTCGGTATCTGTCTCTGCCTCTGCATCAGTTAAATTAAGAACACATTTACTTACGACAAGTAAATAATCCCCATCATTTTTCCCAGAGGCAGCTAACGATTTGTTAACTTCAGTTGGGCTTTCACATTTTAACTGTTTAAGCATTTTATTTCCATTTCCCATAGTGCTAGTTGACTCAACGTCACTTAGTTCGTGTGTTCCTATGTAATGTGAACTGGAGGTTTCTTGTTCGGTCAATAGATTTTTCACAGTTTCAGATTTAAGCCTTTTTGTCTGCTGTAGATTTCGCTCAGAAATGTTTTGCTTGCGCGTACGTGTAGCTTGTTCTTCAACTTTCGCCAGACTGCAGCTATCTTCACTCCGATCCATTAAGTTACTTGGAAAGCATCTACCCGAAGACATGGTGCGACGTACAACACTTCTTAGATGCGCGTCAGACCGTCTGCAGCCTGTTAGAAATGTATGAACCGATTGCAGAGCTTCAGTACAATCCATACATATTTGGTCTGGTAAACCGTCGTCCGGTTTCGCCTGCATATAACAATGAAAATATATTATCAAACTGAAGGCAATTTTAAATTGCATTGCTAATACCACAATTCCAGCGTATTCCTCCAGTTGCTTCGCTAAATTGCTATCATTGAAGAGTGGTTGCAGTTGGGAACTGCTATCGGCAGTGCACGTACGGCACATGGTCCACTTTATGCAAATTTCCATTCCTTAATAGTTTACGATCCCACAATAATTACAACTAAAACACAACAGATCATTTTGCGCCACAGAATAAATAAATTGTAATCAGCTTGTCAATTTTGGCGTGTATTCACCGCCGAACGAAACGCGCGTTACTGTGCATACCTGTTTGCAGACCGTTAGAATTTGTTTTAAATATTTTTATATTTTGTGGGACGCGTGTCTTGAGAAATTTAAACCTAGAATATTCAAAGCGCATAAAAAGAGTAAAAACTCAATTAAATAAATGTATATATAGTGCTGCATGCGTTGTCGTTTATATTTTAGATGTGTAATATTGTGTAGACGCATCCAAATATAATCGCACAAGGCGCTGAGAATGGCATTGTAGTTTATCGGCATTCACGAAAACAAAAGTCTCTCAGATAATGTGGTCACCCTACTTTACTGTCAAAAATAAAAAGAAAATAAAACTGCAACACAAACTGCAAAAATATTGAAGACGCATTATTTATATTATTGTTATCATTATTGGTTAGAGAATTGCAAAAGTAAAAAAAAAGCATGCCAGAATATTTGATATGCCGAATATGCTTAACGGAAGACATGAACGTTGATACCATGACACCACTATACGACGAACAGGACGTTCAATGTCCACTAGTTCGGAAAATAGAAGAAATAGGAAGCATAAAGGTAAACCAACGGACATAATTATAAAATTTCATCATTAAATTACATTCAATAATTAGCTACCGCCCTTGGAAGACATGCCAAGCCTCCTCTGCTGCAGTTGTGTTGGTAGCCTTACCAGCGCTTATAAATTTCGGGAATTGTGCCAGGAAAGTGAGCGAACCTTTGCCAGCAGCATTGTAAAGGTATAATCTCCAGACTACTTATGTAATAACAATTGATTCAATTATTAAATTAATTGTTTAATTGTTTAAGGCTGAGCTGAAATTGGAACCAACAGATGATCCTTCGCAAATTGAAAGCGATACAGTTGAGTACATTTACGAAGCGGCCAATGAGTTTATTGATGCTGACGATGACATTGAATTCGATGCAATGCTTGAAGAGCGTTTAGAAGAAACAATTGAGGAGACGGAGACCGACGCAGCGTATGATGATTTCGAGCGGACAACAGATCTGGATGATAAGAACATATTGCTTGGCAATGCGAGCGACAGCGACTACGATCCCACTGAACGCTTGCGAAAGCCAAAGGTACGAAAATCGAGGCTTAGCAAACGTGGACGGGGACGACCTCGCAACCCGACGCATTCAGTACTTAAGCATGGTCAAGCAAACACGACAAATGTAGCCACTGCAAATAAATCGAATGAGGAGACGTCTACGAACATCATGTGTGAAATATGCGGCAATATCTACTCGAAACGTGCAGCCCTCAATATTCACATGCGACGTCACATGGCCGAGAAGCCTTTTGAATGCGAGTATGTTTGTAGAAGTGCAATTTATTTCAATTTAATTAATGAATGAATTGAATTCATGTTATCTTCAAAAAGTCAACTTTTGATTCTAATTACACTTATATATCAGTTTTGTCATATGCATCACAAATTAAGTTTGATTCTGCTTAAATATCTTGTACAACTCATAACGAACGAGACTTGTTAATATCAGGCGAATTTAGTCGTTTAGTAGTTCATCAAATAGCTGACTGTATAATTTTGGATTCATGCTCTATATGTCACTTTTAACTCATCTGACACTCTTTAAAACTCTTCTGTTATTCAAAAAGCCATTTCTTTTTTAATTTTAAATTTAATTGTTTTTTAGAATCTGCACTAAGTCGTTTGCCGGCCCCTCAGAGCTCAATCGCCATATAAGAGTGCATACAGGCGAAAAGCCTTTTAGGTGCAAATACTGTTCTCGTGCATTTGCTGATCGCAGCTCAAATATACGCCACGAAAGGTAATAACTCATAGATTAATTTATTTAACCAATAACTCATATATTTTTATTATAGAACCCATACAAACGAGCGTCCTTTTACCTGTACCACATGTGGCAAGTCATTCTCCTATTCGAATGTTCTCAAGAATCACATGTTGACGCATACAGGCGAAAAACCCTTTTTGTAAGTTAATGATATTGCAGTTGCCTAATGTCTAATGAGAATATCTTAAAACATTTTAGTGGAGAGAGAAACTTATTATAAAGCTGTTTTTAATCATATTAATCTTTTTAGGTGTATGCCGTGCAATAAAACCTTTTCCCGAAAGCATCAACTAGAACAGCACATGGGAACTATGACCCATCAGCAAACTGTGAAAGCCCTGCAGACTAGCGATGCGGCGCGTCACACTGAGTTGTATTAGTCATTCACAATGGATTATATAATTATTTAGTTGTTATATAATATAAATTTAAACTTAAATCCTTAATGTAAATAAAAAGTACAAATTTAAGAAGCCAAAAATATTATAACTGCATTTTAAACTTAGTTGTGCTTAAACTATTAGATGAGTTATAAAAAACATAAAACGCAAATTCAATGCTTGTTTATAGAATATTAGTCCTAAAGATATATGCAGCTCTTAAGCATGATTGGGCGTTATGCCGAAATTGCCGAAAATGTAGTGTTTCAGTGCTTGGCTAATTAAGTTAAGACACACTATACATAGGTTGGAACACGACAATACATATATTTATATTATTTTGTATAAGAGTAGGACATACAGAGTTACATATATTCAACGTATTTTTTTTTTTAAGTAGCACTGGCAACTATGGCCTTTGGCTAAGACAATACAACATCAATAGACTAGCTTAGGATGCTCATCCATATCCAAGATGTTCCGCGGCCCACATGACTGGGCCACTTGGATAAGTCATCTGCCGAGGATTGTTGCTTCCCCAGGCAACGCAAGCTGAAGAGACCTTTCGCAATTTCATAGCTTTCGATAGGACGACTATTAACGACGAATGTTCTGGATCAGCTCCTTCTTTGTAGTGAAACATTATCGACAATATCTAAAAAATATGGGTAAATGTAGCTTATGATTCAACTTATAAGTAATATATACTATACATACATAGCACATAAAATTCATTAATGCTTCCACGATCTCGAAATTTGTAAACAACAGTTTTGCAAGCACATTACACCAGAGTAAGTTTTACTCAAGAAATGCCGTAATGCCTTGCTATACAATTTTTCAATGTTTCAGTGTTTCAATAAAGCATTCGTAATAGGAGTCAATGTTTTTCGAATAGAACTCATTTGAAACCTTTGTAATTAATCCTCATTGACTTAAAAGTTTAAGTCGCTTGGTTGGCAGTAGTCAAATTCTGAATTAACTTTTGTATCAACTGCTTTTCTGTTAGAGCACAGCGTTGGCGAAACGCGGTGGCGCATCCTAAGTCTATGAGGCATATCCTGCAAATGAGCACGGGATGTCCTGGAATTTGTTCGAGCTACGAATGATGAAAAACTTTAATAGTAAAAAGTAACAATGTAAAATTGGCAATATGCAACCTCCAATTTACTAGTTGAATTGAGTTGCTGTATTAAATGCGCGTTCTGTTCACGAAAAAGATCAACCATATCTGCAAGACGCTTAACGTAATTTAAACAAAGGCGACACTGGTTTTTCTCCATTGTGTATGCTTTACAGTACTGTGAAAATGTAGATACAAATTGTGAGCTTAAGCATTCAAGTGAATACCACTAACAAAGTGTTGCTTCTTCTTTAAAATTAGCATTCACAGCGAATTTATGAATTTACTGAAACAGCTGCTTTCGTTATTTTGTGCACAAAAATATAAACAATTTATTTTTTTTAGTATTATATTTAATTTAGTTATTTAAAAAATGACGCTGCAATGTCGTACCTGTGGAAACGTTATTTACAATATGAACGCTAAAAATCTATTCTTAAGTGAAAACACTGAAATATTAATGAACATTAAAAATGTGACTGGAACAACTGTAAGAATTTGTCTTAAAATATGTTTACATTTATATATATATTTATAATATAACCATGCTTATTTAAATTACTTGTGCAGCTAGAAAAATGCCCTGAGCTTCCATTCCATATATGCGCTTGCTGTCTTCTTGATCTGAAACAAGCCGTCTTCCATATAAAAGTATTCCGTGATCGCTGTCTAAAGACGCAAGAGAAGCTGCTGATGACACAAACACATGTTGAACTTTCTTCGAAAGGAAACATGGAACTGAATAGTTATTATAATATTAAAAGGGAAACCATTTTAAATTACGATGAACTACCTATTGAAATTGATAGACTAGAAGACGACTTCGATGATGAGGAAGATGAGCTAATTGATTTTTATGACGATAATTTTTCAAGTGATATTGAAGCTAGTTCTGTTGAAGCTCCCACGGAAGATGCCGACTACGTAATAACAAGCGTTCAAGATGAAATGCGCAGTATATGTGAATTTAGCAGCGAGAGTCAAGAGACAACCGATGAGTTTCAGGAACTCTCGGATAATGAATTAGTTCAAAATAAAAGCTACGGTGACAAAAGTAAATCTACTAGTTTCACAAGCAGTACGCCAACAACTTTTACCAACCTGCTTTTGAACACAGAAAATTCAAATGCTAATACAAATATGAAAGTACACAAGCAACATTTGAATGAAAACAATTTGGACAGTAATACCCCTGTTAAGACCAAAAAAACCTACACCAGCTGGAAGAATCTGACAGAAGAGCAAATTGTTGATCGCCGCCGGAAACAAAGGCTTCGAGATTGTATTTGCGACCAGTGTGGCAGGCATTTCACAGATCAAAGTAACTTCAAATTGCATATGCTCCGACACACCGGCATCAAGAATTTTAAATGTAACGAATGTGGTAAACTATTCTATACCGACCACTTGCTACAGCTCCATGAACGCACTGTCCATCGCGGAGAGCGACCATATGCTTGCAAGTACTGCGATAAGACGTTTAACAGCAGCACAACTCGTGTAATGCACGAACGGTTAGTTTTTTGCAGCTTAACGTAAATTATAATAAATGAGAAATTCAAATATATTATCATATGTATTTAGCTCCCATACGAATGTGCGGCCATACACCTGCGAATATTGCGATAAATCATTTATATCTACATCCGCTCTTAAGCGACATGATCTAACACACAATGGCGTGCGAGCATTTTAGTAAGTATTTTTAACTACTTTTGAAACAGAATGAGTTTAAGCTAATTGGAAACGTTTCAGCTGTAATATATGCGACAAAACATTTCAAAGAAATACCCATTTAAAGGCTCATTTACGTTCCAAGTTACATGCCATGAAAGAAAACAATATTAACTTACTACGGGAGTTTGAATAAAGCTTTAAAAAAAAAAAGTTTATATTTTTATTGGAGTTAGTTAATTTTTAGCAATTTGCCTTCCGTGAACAACGTTATTTTTGTTGCACCTTACAACTTGGCTAATATTTAATACTAATATTTATTTATGTTATAAAAAAACACTTAATTCGTTACTATTTCGAAATCAGAATTATTAACATGAATTTGATAAATTACTGCAAACATAGAGTAATCTTTCGAAAGTCTAAAGTGCCAACCCAAAATGAAATATATATAAAAAAAAAATTAAAACAAACAAAACTAAAAAATGCATAATGCTGGTTTTTAAACAAACGTTTAAAGTCGATGAGAACAGTGTATACTTATTGATTTTTCACAATTTTTAACAGTATATTTTTGACATTTTCATATGTATTTTTTAGTATATTTCATTAGAAAGCATTTTAGCTCTTTTGTGAATTGGTCGCTTTGTCAACATCTCTACGTTCTACAAATTAAACAAATATTTTTTTTGAGTTTTATTAAAATGGAAGATTTCTGCCGAACTTGTGGCAAAACGGTGAATGAAGAAAGTTGTGTTAACTTATTTTCAACCATGGGTCGTCGCCTTTTACACTGCGTGCGCAACATAACAAATTGTTGGGTACTGATTCAATGGTTCAAATAAAATTCCAAATGAAATTCTAACTTTGCTTCTTTTAGATGGAAAATGTTACCGGTTTTCCTATTTATATATGCGAGGACTGTCAGATTTTGGTAAAGAAGGTAAATACCTTTCGTAAACGCTGCACAAAAATAGAAGCTTTTCTAGCAAAACGGAAATCCAAATTAAGCTCAAACAATGATATTTTGCCTGTAAAATCAGACCAAGTTAAGATTGCCGATCCGCTTCGAATTGAAGCGGTAGATGTTGCTGTTGATATTAAATTGGAATCAAAGACTGCACATCACATACAAACCGAAGATTGTATTCATAATGACCTGCGCGAGGACAACGAAGAAACTAACGAGTGTTATTATGGAGATCAACCAGATTCAGATGGCTACGCTGATATATCCTTTGATGAGGAACTACGGAGTGGTGAGTCTCCAAACTCTCCAACTGCCCAGCCTGAAACTCAGTTGAAAACTTCAGTAGACATTGATCCAAATACAAAAGCGAAAAAAAATACCCGCAAGTACACCATGCGTGTGGGTAAGAGAACTATGTACATTAAATTAACAAATGAGAAACAGCCAAAGCGTATTGTGGACCGAGAGCGACAATGGGCCTCAGCGCGTCCCTGCATTTGTGAGCACTGTGGCCGCCAATTCAAGGATGGCAGCAATCTTAATGTGCATTTGTTGCGGCACACCGGCACTAAGAACTACGAGTGCCAGGAATGCAACGAAAGGTGCTACACATTGCACCTGTTGCGACGCCATCAGCTGAAGCATACTGAGGGTCCGTACGCTTGCACCTTCTGTGGACTACAATACAGTACCAACAGCTCGCGGGTGCGACACGAACGGTGAGTAAATTTAAACTTAAGGAAGACGGAAAATATTACATTTCAAATCCCTCTTGATATACAGTGAAGCTTGCAAGAAGGGTCGAGCTCCACAATCAAAAACGGAGCTAATTAAACGAGGTGAACGCACATTTCAGTAAGCTTATTGTGTTTAAAACTTATTATTTGTTAATTCACATTTTCCTTGTTTTCCAAAGCTGTGACGTCTGTGATCTTTGGTTCCTGCGTGCCGGAAATTTAACTCAGCACATAAATTCAACAAATCATATTGCTAACGCGCGGATTAAAAGTAAAAAATCACAATCAAAGCTAAAGAAATCGCTAAATGCTACATCATGAAATCAGATGTTTTGTCACTTTGAGACATGTTTGTAATAAAAAATAATAGGAAAATAATGCTGTGTATTTTCGAAATCTTAATGCAAATTGTAGTCCATTATTCCCATTAGTTCCGTTATGCTGGCTTAATTTGAATCTTCGATCACTTCAACCTTTGCTAGCTTTTGTAGATTTTCTTTATGCATCTTGCTAAATTGATGCGAACACAAATTGAACTTGTATCGAAAGAAGGCGTTGCAAACATCACATCTAAAAAAAATTCAATACATTAAATAATTAAACGTTAAGTTAATAGTGAATTGCCAAACCTATAGGGTCGTTCGCCAGTGTGAATACGTTCATGTTCCTTCAGCTTGCTGCGCACATAGAACCCCTTAAGACAAATATCGCACTCGAAGGGACGTTTACTATCATGCTTCATTTCGTGCTTCTTTTTCGATTGAGGATCTGCAAAGCTCATGTCGCAGAGTTTGCATTTAAATGGCGTGACTCCCAAGTGAATATTGGTATGCCAATTAAGTGCATATTTTGTTGCGTAGCTCTTATTGCAATATGAACAAAAATGGCGGACATTTTCCTTTTGTCCCAGTCCATCCTCCTGTTGATGGTCCTGCTGCTCATTTTTAAGCTCGATTCTTTTATTCAATCTATTCAAGTTTCGGTGAATGCGTGGAGATGCTCCGTGAACTTTTCTGCAAAAACCATTTGTATATTAAAGATGTACAATGTCGATTCGTTTCATTGATTGTATCAATTTTTCACCTACTTTTCGTGCAGATACCGCGTATTGGAAGAACCAAATGCTTTCCTACAGAAATTGCATTCAAATGGCAATTCGCCTCTGTGCCGTACTCGTATATGAATGTTTCGCATATAGGCATCGTAGAATTTTTTAGGGCATTCGGGACAAGGATAGTTCTTTGTGCGCGTATGCCTTAGCATATGGATCGTTAAATTACATCTCACCCGAAATGAGGCGCCGCACTGATCGCACACATGATTCAAGGGCATGGCTCTGATTTGCTCACGACGTATTCGATTTCTTTCCTCTTTTGTGCGTTTCGGTCTTTTCGGTTTAGGATCCCGAGGTTTCCGTTTGCGTTTTCTTACCACTTTTGTCCTGGTTATTGTTACCTTCCTTTGTCGTGGACGTGCTATTCTATCCTTACCCCTGTATTCATTAAGAAGATCTTCATAAATCTGAGCTCCCAATGCAATACTATTTGAGTCTGCAGCCGATGTATATACTGGCTGAATAATTTGCTGTGCTGTTTCCAGAGGCAAAGGCATAGGTTCAACGACAGTTGTTTGACCATTTTGATCTTCTGCCGGAAATATGGTAACATAATCTTTAACACTATTCTCGCTAATCTGCACTATCTCTGAATCATTAGCATTCCAAGCGTCTGTGTCGTTCTCCTTAATAATCGTATCTCCTGCAAGTTCTACCTCCGTTCGAATACATGTTTCTCGAAAATTAATGGCTGTGCGCAGATTATGGACGCAGGTTGAACACATGAACGGCGAGACTCCTTCGCTACATTGGATCTGCAATGCAATTGTTTGTATACCAAAACCAAACGAAATATTTTCGATTTAACAAAGACTAACCCAGATACCGGTTATGACTTCAATGTGAAATAACATGACAGCGTTTTGTTCATCACAAAGGTCTTTAGCATTTTCATCAACAACAAATGTCTCATAGCAGGTGCGACACTTAATCTGCTCAATAACTTTTTCATTTCTGCTCAACTCAAGCTCAGCCTGCTCCTCAGCCAAGGGATCGCTTTCACTGGGTGTCGGTGTACATGGAGTGAAAGCATTGCCTGTAGCATTAACGAAGTCGGGTACCGAGACAATGCCTGTGTTTCTGATAAAGTCTGGCGCTATAACAATTGCTCCGCTGGCTTCGGCTGCTTCACGCGCTGCCGCTTCCTCTAGTAGCTCTGCGACCAGCTTTTTGTTTTTACGCCTTTCAGATCGCTCTCGTTCAACTGCACTCACGTCGTTTTTGTTTATGCATGGCACGGCGCCCGGTCTCAGCGTTCTTTTGCTGCATAGGCCTAAAATTTGAAATTAAAGTTAATGTGAAAAGATTAACCAGTTTCACTAACCCATTTGAAACTGCAATGCTCCTTGAATATCCTCCTCTTTAAAATGCTCATTACAAATGACGCTCTTGAGTGGTGCCTTTAGTTTTTCTTTGTTGTATCTGCGACAAAATGAAAGCCATTTTTTTAAGACGTCCGGGTTTTTGGGAAAGCTGAAGAAACTTAATTGTTGCGAGTGTTTTTGTCTTGATCTGAACTTGTTTGCACAGTTTTGCACTGCACACTTCATTTTTGTACAATTTATGTCTATTTGTGACGTCGCATTGCAGACCTAGTGCCAGGGTTGGCAAAACACTTACTAGCCCTGCAGAGAGCAATCGATATGCGATGGATTTAATATTTTCTTTTTATCGCTGATGGCCAATTGGCGGGAATCCACATTTATTGTTCATAATTTTTAGAGTGACATTTTATATGAAACGTTGAGTGACGGTGGAACGTAAGCATAATTTTCGATTAAAGTACACTTTACATTTATCACAAGTGTAAGATTTATATTTGTTCGATTTAATAATAATTATAAAATGGGTATTAATATACACAAGAACGGTTGTTTTCCTGTGGGCAGAATAGATAATGTACAATCAAATAAATACATATACATACGTAATTTACTATAATTATCTACTGTAGCCTGGAAATACAAAATATATATACATATGCATTTTTGAAATAAACAATAACCAGCACTGAAATTTCTTTAAACATCGAAATCTTTATTAATTAAATCTGTTTTACTTTCTCCATCTGAGAGCGCATATATTACATCATGGGATTTATCCATTGCTGCACTAGCTCTAGTTTGATGTTGTTTTGAACGACAGTGAATTTTTAAATTTGTTTTTCTAGGAAATCCCACATTGCATATATTGCAACTGAAAGAAAATGCCATTATCTAGCCGCACCAGTTATTGGAAAAATAAGCTTACATACCGGTATGGTCTTTCACCCGTGTGAAGAAACTCATGTTTATTTAAGCATGATTTTGTCAGATACGTTTTTCCGCAAAGTCTGCATGCATACGTTGATTTCCTTACGTGCCTTACGCTGTAAATGTAATAAAGGTGGTTAAAGTAATAGTTAATCAAATATGTTAACTATACCGTTCATGCCGACAACGTGTGGTACTTGTAAAGAAGCGCTGGTCACAATATTTGCATGCATATGGCATCTCTCCTTGATGTCTTACGCGTATATGTAAATTTAAGAGATGTCGTGTAAAGTACTTTGTGCCACATTCTTGACATTCAAAGTTCTTCACCCCTGTATGTCGCAAAATATGCACTTTAAGATTGCTGGCGTCTTTAAAACATTTTCCGCATTGATCGCAAACATAGGTCTTATTAACTCCCCGCTGCCTGACATTACGTTTTACTTGGTTTCTAGATCTATCAGACGTGGCGCTATCAGAATCTTCTGGTGGCGACTGCAGAGCTTCGTCCATCGCCATACAATCGCTTTTACTGACTGTCGATACTTTAGGCTGTCTCGAAGTAATCATACTCTTATCTTTTTCTGAGCATGTTCGGGCTAATATAATAACACGCCCATGATGTGCTGAATCGTTTATTGATGTGGTGTTGGTGCTTGATTGTTGTTTTGGTGAGTGCGCTCTTACAATACGAGTTTGCAGAGATGTTTGGATTTTACGCTGTGGTTGTTTCCTGATATTAATCGCTTTAGATGCAACAGTTTCTTTTCCTGTACATAAGGGATCTTGCGGTGATGTATCTCTGTGTATCCCGTCACGAAGAACTTCTTGTGTTTTTATACATAGCTCCCGAAATGCTATTGATTGGTTTACCTCCAAGTAACAGGAGGAGCAAATATTCTTAGGCATATGTTCATCGTCATTTAACTAAAACAAAGCTAATAGATTTATTACACACGTACCCATATGTTTATTTTCAAAGTACCCTGATTCCTGTCAGTGTATCGATCTTATCTAACAAATCTTCATTTTCTTGTTGAAAGAGGTTTTTGGCATTGGAATTGTTAATCTGTTCGCCACAGGTTCTGCATAAAAGTAACTTTGACATTTTTACAAATTAGTTGATCTTTCCAATAGATGGAAAAATGTTTTTATTAATTGTTCTACCAAAAAAAGTGTGAATAGCATAAGTACAGCTGATTATTGCGTTGTGATGCGAATGTCAAAGATGTGGCGCAATTTTTAATGTCATGCTCTACCCGATAACCAACTTTTTATACATCAAGTTGAACTATTATTGAGTCTGGAAACACTATTGTATTATCTGAAATTGTTATTTCTTTAATGCCATCAGTTTGACTATTCATTGCTTCACTAGCCTTCTTCTGATGCTGTTTTGTACGGCAATGTATTCTTAAGCCTGGTTTTCGGGGAAACGCCACATTACACAAGTCGCAACTAGAAGATTAAATAAAATAATATAATATCAAGTAACTTTTTATTCATGGTGGCATACCGATATGGTCGCAAGCCAGTATGTAGAAATTCGTGTTTATTTAAGCATGATTTAGTATTATATTTTTTCCCGCAAATCTTGCATTCATATGACCAGCTTCTTATGTGTCGCACTCTGTAAAGGAAAACATTTAATTAAACATTCATAAGTAATTTCTATCCTATAATTTGGGTCCTCACTGTTCATGTCGTTGACGTGTGCTTGCGGAATAGAAGCGCTGATCACAAAATTTGCACAAATAGGGCATCTCGCCTTGGTGTTTTACGCGAATATGTAATTTTAATAGGTATTTCGAGTAGTGCTTAATGCCACATTCGGCACATTCAAAATTTTTTTCGCCCTTATGACGCAATATGTGAAGATCCAAGTTTTTAGGACTCGAAGATTGATGGCCGCAGAGGTCACAGATGAAGACTTTCGGATTCGCAGGTGGCTTTGCATTATTGACTTTATTTTTCCTAGACTGTCTTTTGGCTACCATACTGTCCTTATCCTGTGCTGATTGAGGTTCAAATTCAGAAGATATAACAGGCGAACTAGGTGTAAACGGCACTTTGTCAAGCGCTGCTTCCTGAAACATTTTAGTTTCTTCAAAGTCACTAACTTCATTGATCTTGTTCTTTGAAGTACAAGAGCTCTTTTCACATTTGCTTGGACTGCTAAGTTGCGAATTCTTTGAACTTTGCACTTCATTGGCATCCTGATCCTTTGGATTAGGTTGTGGTATGGCTGGCATTGTTTTACGTGAATTGTGATCATGGGAATTTGTTTTCTTTATATTTATAAATTTCGCTCTTCTTGTATTAGTTTTTTGTGTACGAACGCGCAAAATTCGCCTTTGTGGGCATTCTTGACTCAAGATATCTGTATCTGGCGTATTTAAAATGAGATTATCTAATTGGACTGTTGTTGCCGCAAACTGCAATTTATTTGATTCATTGATGCTTTCATGTCTTGATTCTATTCCTGTCTGTGATGTATTTAGCGGGTCTCCCGTCTTTGGCTTTGGTCTTGCAGCTTGTAAAAAATATTCTGTTTTCAAGCAACGCTCTCGAAAAGCTAGTGAATGGTACAGGTCCAAATGACAACAGGTACAAATGTACTTTGGCATATGCTGGTCATCATTTAACTATAATAAAATATACACATGTTGAGCTTCATCTGCGTACGCACGTATGTATGTACATATATATCTCTAATGAACTTGAGAATAGTTTTTACCCGTATTCCAGTAAGAGTTTCAATGTTATTGAGTATCTCATTGTCGTCTTGGTCGAAAATATTTTTGGCATTGGGATTTAAAATCATTACGGCACATGTTCTGCATTGAGTCGTCATTTTACCAATTTTTAGCTAACTGCAATGTTTTCTGCGCAAAATGATAATAGCGTTATAAGAAACGCAGGGGTGTTATTCTATTTTAGTATTTTTTTGGTATGCAGACAAGTAAAATTCTAAAGAAAAATATCGATAACACAATGAGCTTTTGAAGTTTATATTCGTTTATTTTAAATAGTTGTGGGCAGTTTTTAATTTATTTTATTGTTTTCGTTTTACTTTATTGCCATAATTCATTTTACTGGAAACATTAACTAATTTGTATTACTATGGTGAATAAACCACGTTGGAAATATTTACTTTTGTTAGTTTTTAATTTACAAAATTACAATTGAATTGCAAATACAAGCAACGAAATCATTGAACAAAGATTTTTAACTCATTTATTCGTCGAGTTCTTCAATCATAGAATCGGGAAGGTCAAAGTCTATATCTTCGTCGCTGATCTCTGTCATTTCATCGTCTTGGAAATCACTTCTCATAATCTGTGTCATCCGTCTTAGATGAAACTTTGTAAGATAATGATTTTTTAAATAAGTGGGTCCTTTAAAAGTCTTTTTGCATGTTTCACATCTAAAATATACAAAGTGTATTAAGCGTGGAAGACAGACTATCAAGAATACATACCGATGAATTGTTTCTCCCTTGACATGTGCTTGCTTATGCTTTTCCAAACTAATTTTACTTATGAAAGTTCTGTTACAAATGTCACATTCGAAAGGTAACTCGTTTGCATGAAATTTTCTGAGATTTACAAATACAAATAGATTAAATGCTTATAATTTACCAAATAATGGACTCACCGTTCATGGCGGCAGCGACTGGGACTGTTGCGGAAGGCCATACCGCAATATTTGCATACAAATGGCTTTTCACCCTTGTGATGCACACGTACATGAAGCATTAAAAGCGGACGGGTAAAAAACTTACTACAGCATTCCTCACACTCAAACTTTTTTACTCCAGAATGTCGCAGTGCATGATCTTTCATGTTGCTCAAATCGCGGAAAGACCACCCACAATGTTCACACACATATTTCTTCTCTAGCGGCATAACTTTCGGCTTTCTTTTCTTAACCTTTTTTGCCTTATCATGACGAGATACTGGCAAATATTTTTGTTCTCCACCTAATCTGAATCTTTTTTTCGGGCTAGGGGCAATGGATGCCGTTGGCCTAACCACCGCATGCGTTAAATCATCAGAAAGATGTGCCGTTCCAGTAGATTGTGTTCCACTTTTTAGCGGGCTTTTCTTCATTAATAAGGCGGGGCGATTTACTATTTGGCGACCATTATTTGGATCTCGACAACGCAAAAGTCGTACTCGAGGCGAAACTTGCGGGCTCAGTGAACGTCGTATATCATCGTTCTTGGGATTGGATCCTGTATGCGACACTTCTCTATCTTTTGGATCATCCATAAGTTCCTTTTTGAATTTGATAGCACCTTTTACACGGTTATCCAATGGATCAATATGCTGAAAGGCAACTGGAACGTTTCTTTTATTGGTAATGCCATCTTGCTTTACATTTATTAACTGCTTGTTCGCATCTAAGCAGCGCTCTCGAAAAGCAATTGCATGGTTTAAGTCCAAATAACAACAGGAACATATATGGGTAGGCATATGAGGATCATAAGACAACTAAAAATAAAACGCTTTGAAAATTATAAGCACGCCAACACAGCATCATAAGCCGGCTTACTTTTATCCCAGTAATTGCGTGGATGTTGTAGCGAATATCTTCATTTTCTTGTTTGAAAAGGTCTCTGGGATTCAAGTGATAAATTGGTTCTGCACAAGTTCTACATGTTATTGACATTTCGCTTCTCTTTTTTCCCTTGGTTTGTTTACAAAATGTAAAATTAAAATACTACCAGTGTGCACACTTGAATGGCACAAAAATTACCTAAAAATGCCAAGGAAATACCAATTATTTTATCCAGTAAAAACTTGGAAATGTGATATTAATATATATACTAAAAGTCCATTATATATTTACTATATATTGATTATAGTATTCACATAAGTATATTAATTATATTCTGTTCTGTTGTAATTTCTATTTTATATATAACTTTAAGTCTCTTTAATTTAAAAATAAATAAGGTAATTAAATATAACGCAATTTTAAATCGTTATTTGAAATATTGTGAATGGGTTGTGTGTACCTAAATGTTACAGAACAGCTGTGAATAAAGTCCCAGATTTATGATTTCTAATTTCTCATTTGCGCGGAAATTAAAAATACTCATATTTGATGAAGTGAGTATACTTTTTATATTTAAGAGAACATAATGACCGATTTGCGTACATTGTGCCTTACTTGTGGCATAACAATTAATGCGAAGCATGATACTAAGCTATTTGAGGAACTGAATTATCATTTAGTAATTTTAATCGAAGATATTACCGACTTGTGGGTAAGTAAATTGTTTTATTTTCCTCTGTTTTTGAAAGATTAGTTTTACAAGAACAAATTACAGATTAAAAATGACAATACCATGCCGGAATATATTTGCATTGGCTGTAAATCGATGTTGGAACAAATTTTTAAGTTCCGAACTATTTGCCTGGATACGCATAAGAAACTAATAGGGATGAAAAGGAAGACCATAAATAGCAGCACTCTTCTGGAGAGCCCAGAAGTTAATATCGTTTTAGATTTTAACACAATAGATGCTATAACCGAAAGCAGTGATAGCTGTGATGATCAAGTAAATATAAATCTTTGTAGTGATACCCAGAGTTACAGAATTGAAACAGTCGCCGTACCGCAAAAAAGGAAACCTCGCGCTAAGGTAAAAAGGATATATGAATCCAAACAAGCCAAGACTTGGATTTGCGAACAGTGTGGTGGAGTATTTAGTTGCTCCACGTATTTAAAGCTACATATGTTGCGTCACACAGGGACTAAGGAATTTGAGTGTGACATTTGTAAGAGAAGGTACTATACCAGGAACGAGATGGAGCGCCATAAAATTTTACATTCGAATGCTAGACCGTACGCTTGTCGTTTCTGTGATAAAACATTTCGAGGCACGAGTAGTAAGACAGTTCATGAAAGGTGTGTTTAATACAATATTTAATATTACATACATTTATAAATTGTATAATCTTAGAACTCATACAAACGAACGGCCATTTGGGTGCCAATATTGTGATAAAGCTTTTAGATCCACCTCGGTACGGAAAATGCACGAACGTGTGCATGTGAATAACAGAAACTATCAGTAAGAAACATAAAATATTTAAGTCTATATAAATTCATAAACTTCTTTTACAGTTGTGAGCCGTGTGACCAATGGTTTTTACGACCTTCACATTTGTTATTACATCAACGAACCAAACTCCACAAAAGTAAAACTTCGAGCGACTAGTTTATTTGCATACATATGTATATATTTTTTTAATAGCATATATAATAAACATATACAAAAAGTTGGGAATAGAACGAACTAAACATGACTCAATGTGATTGTCAATAACAATAAACAGCTGATCTAATTTTGTGTGAATGGCGCATTTGTTTTCAGTGAGTTTTATTTTGAAAGAGCGTACGCTGATCTGAAAGAAATATTAAAATAAACATCTTAAAATGTTGACAATAATTATTTCTTTAATTTAATAGCATTTTTACCAGCCTATAGAGTCAAAGCATTACAAAGTTTTTAATGTTTCAGTTATTTGATACTGTTAAGCACACGTATACCTTAGCCAGCTTATCGATGAAAAGGCGGATTATTTTAATTATATTCTTTGGAAACTCAATTTAAAACATGCTCTCAACTCGTGGAACTAGTCGTAAAAAATGCCTGCGCTTCAAAAAGGATGATAAAGCACTGCTTATAGCTGCAGTTAGGGTTAGACGTCTACTCTGGGATATGAAGGACAGGGAGCACAATGATCTTATAAGCATTAAAGCGGCTTGGAAATCCGTGGCTACTGAACTGGACAGAGACCGTAAGCTCTTAACATTTAAATATTTAAATTTATGACATGATTCAATTGCATCTTAAATAGCACAAGAATGCAAGGTTGCTTGGCGCTCACTACGCCAGAGTTATCGTTATCATTGCAAAACCGCGCACACCCGTATAAAGCTAGATGGTGATGATTATACAGGCGAAGCTGATCCATTAGAAATGCCAGACATTCAGTGGGAGTTCGCTGAGGATATGTCGTTCCTGCAAGATTTGTCAAAGAACAGAGAGTAAGTATTTGGTTTGTTGAATTCCCAAAAAATTATTGTCTGTTAAATATGTCAGCCAGGCCTTAGACTCAGTCCAAATGGACGAAACTTCTGCGAACACTGTTTTGGAAGAATATATTGATACGGAATACTTGGATACCGCTTACGACATTAACAATTGCGAAGATGATATCGAAGTTGAAGACACTACCGCTAGCGTTGATGATGAGGCTCCTGTAAATTCTCCGAATGATACTGAGGAACTCGTATATGTATGTTATTCTGTTTTATTTACCTTTTGCCTTTAGTTCATAAAAATGTTATTTCGCTTACAGAAGAGAAATCAATATGGTCCAATTCAAGATGTATTGTGTAGAACATGCGCGCAACCAATTGACTCTCGGACCTCTCAGAACTTATTTAAACCAGAAAATCATAAGCTTTTGTGCCAAATTAAAGCCTTAACGGAATTAAGCGTAAGTAAGACTAATTAGAGGATATAACTCTTATCAAATTTGTTTTGTTATTATATTTAGTTAAAGCAAGATGAAGACTTATCAGATTTTATCTGCCAAAACTGTCAACATAATCTTAGCATAGCTACAGAATTTCGCCGAGTTTGCATTGAGTCACAGAAACAAGCCCTGATCAAAGTACAAGTAAAAGAGGAATCAGAAGTAATAGCATATCCTGAGTCAAATATGGCAGGCAGCCCTATTACTACGGAGATAGCTGTAGAAGAGGAATTACTGGATGATATTGATATTTCAGAAGGTGAAAATTACTACGAAGAAGTTGACGTACAGCCATTACCACCAGCAGCTTTGCCAACTCCATCGAAAATGAAATTTAAAAGCGAGAAAAAAAACCATAAGAGCCAGTGTCATCAGTGTGGATTAACATTTAGCAGTCAGGACTTACTAAAAATGCACATGCATCAGAGTCATGATATGCAGCTTCATACTAGGTTTGAATTAATGTATAATATAAGTAAATAAGATATATTTGACTAATATATCATTTTAGATTTGTGTGCAAACATTGTGGACACGATTTCAAATACTCTGCACCCCTTGTTGAGCACCTGAAGAGCATCGGGGTTTCTTTTGGATACAAATGCGAGGAGTGTGGTCAAAAGTTTCATAGTAGGCATTTTCTTAAGAAGCATAAGAGGCGAGTTCATGGGCAGGCCGACGAACATATTTGTCACATGTGCGGTAAAAACTTTACCACTGGATTTAATCTACGAAACCATATAGTTCGTCATTCAGGCACCCGTCCTCATAAATGCAAATTATGCAGTGCCGCCTTTTCTACGACAGCCGAGCTAAACAATCACCAGCGGACCCATGACAATGTGCGTCCATATCCATGTCGCTATGCTTGCGGCAAATCATTTCGCCACTGCAGCAACCGCAGCACACACGAGAGGTAAGCAAAGTAAAATAAGGTAGAAGTTGATATTAATTAGAAATTTTTTTCGCAGAGTACATATGGCTGGCAGTTTACGTCCTTTCCAGTGCGACTATTGCGATAAAACGTTTGTGACCAAAGGCGATTGCAGGGCACACCAAGTGGTTCATACTATGAGTCGGGATTTTAGGTAGTCGCACTAATAGAGATCTCTAATGTGTCAACCTATAATATTTATGATTTTATTTGTCTTTCAGCTGTGACATTTGTGAGCAAAGTTTTAAGTTGCAGAAGCATTATTTGCAGCACTTGACCACCAAGTCACATAAAAAAGTCGAGGAGCACATCAAAACGTTGAAGAATAAGGAATCAGTGGCTTAAATATCATTCATAAATCAATTACAGATATATTGAAATTTTTAATTTTCTTTACTGATTGCTAGAAAAATATTCATATTATCATTTTTGAAATCTAATTAGCTAAAATCTAATACTAATGAATAGTAAAAAGATGATATTTTGCTTGAAATCGTTTATGATCAGGTCTAAACTAATTGTTAACAATTTAACCTGTCTGTATGTTATGGCTGGATTTAATAGTCAACCCCATTAACCAAAATACCTTTAAGAACTAGTTAAGAAGAAATTACAAGAAGAAATTATTTTTATATGGAGAATAAATCGAAATGTTGTAAAATTCATTTTTAATAGCTAAAATATCAGATATATAAATGCACGCAATTGTTGGATTTTAAGATAATTAAGTCACATATAATTGAGAAAGACGTTTCCATTTTTGTCTCTTCTCTAATGATCACCAATTCCATTGCCATTTTGCTTGGTGTTATTGCCGGATACAATAAACGAGGTGACATCTAGTTTAGTGGCCAGCGCTAGGACCACGTCCTTAGCCTCTGCATTCGCTTTCACAATCAAGACACTGGGATCAACTTCCAGCACTCGTGCCAGCTTGCCTAATATGTCAGTCTCAGTCAGGCGAATGATTCGCTTGTTAAGGGCCTTAATCGCAGGATCGTCCAGCTGACGATTCATGCTGACAATCTGGCTCAAAAGTGTTTCCTGTGTCACAACACCCAAAACGCTTCTGTAGAGAGAATTTAGGATTAAGCAACATCAACTTAGCTATTTATACTATTAGCATACCCATCATTCTTGTCGACCATGGGCAGCTGATCCACCCGATGCTTCTTCATCAGCGCTATGGCGCTAGCAAATGTTTCATCAGACTTTAGGAGAGCCACTGGAGTGGGCAGCTCGAGCTCAGCTACGGGCACATTCCACCACCAGTGACGATGTTCATTAACTGGCTGCTTGAAGCCGCGGGCCTCCATCCAATTGTCGGACACGAACTTGGTCATATAATTACGAATGCCGTCGGGCAGGATAACTACACAGCGCTGGCCTGGCTTAAGGGTGCGTGCATGATCCAGTGCAGCGTGCATTGCGCCACCGCTAGAGCCGCCACAGAGCAGACCCTCTTCAGCATTCAGACGACGACTCATGGGGAAGCAGTCCGAATCGTAGATCTTCGTCCACACATCGACGACCGTCTGGTCGAAGACAGTGGGCGGAAAGTCATAGCCAATGCCCTCGACCTCATAGAACTGAACATCAGTTTTGTTTAGCTCTTGTGGACGGGCCAGCACAGATCCAAATGGATCGACGCCGACTACGCGACAATTGGGTACTTGCTCCTTGATTTTGCGACCAATACCGGTAATAGTGCCCGCTGTGCCAGCTGCGATTACAACCATATCCACTTTATTATCCAGCTGCCACAGTATTTCAGAGGCAGTGCCGTCATAATGCGCCAAAGGATTGCCCGCATTGCGATACTGATCCAGCACAATGGAGTTGGGTGTCTTACGCTGCAGCTCCTGGGCCACATAAATAAGTCCCTCCGGCGAATCGTAAGCCGCCTCCGTGGGCGTGCGAATAATCTTGGCGCCTAGGGCACGCAGCGCATACACCTTCTCATTGGACATCTTCTCGGGCATGACAATGATGCACTTGTAGCCGCGTACTGCGCAGGCCATAGCCAGCCCAATGCCCGTATTACCAGACGTCGGCTCTATGATAGTATAGCCCGGCTTCAAGAGTCCTTTCTCCTCCGCATCCTGAACCATACGATAGCCAATACGATCCTTGACCGAACCACCCGGATTCAAGAACTCGCACTTGGCATCTAAATAGGAAATATAAATAATATAACATGCCTCGGCCAATAAGTAATACTAATTATACTATAACTATGAAGCATTACAAAGCACTTTATTTCAATATATAAGAAAAATAATATTCAATTTATAAACAAGAGATAGTGAAAGTTAATCAGCTCCAGTCATGAAACTTGTGACTCGTGCAAAACAATTTGAAAACATGAATCTTTTGCGTAGACTATTAAGGAAAGCTAACCAAAGGCAAGTTGACTTTCTTTCAGCTAAGAATTTGATTGTATACTCACACATCTCGCACTGAATACCCTCCTTGGCTGGTATGCTATTGAGCTTGACCAGGGGCGTGCAGCCAATCACTGTTAAAATGTCCGGGGAAATCTTCTGTTCGTGAGCAAAGCCACGTTGCGTATGCGGCGTCTGCTCCTTGGTGCCCAGGTGCCAAGTGCATTTCGAGGGTTTGCCGGGATCTATGAAATTGGCTGGACGTTCGTAGGTCTTGTTCGCTGACATCTTCTGTGGATTTGTTAAACGTGCGTGAGTAAATAGTTCGTGCTGATCCGCTGCCCGTTGGTAATGAAATGAGTCGTTCAATGTGTTGTTCGCCTCACATCTGGCATCTGGATTGCCTGGGGTCAGTCAGGCGCTGAACCCAGTTTGTATTATCAGCATTTAATATTTTAGTTTAATTTGAAATTATATTTGGGCTTAGGCATACAGCAAATCGCGTTCTGATGTTATTTTCGCAATTGTTACCAAGTCATCGTAAGTTCTAAGTCACATATTCAAGCAATTTAAGTTATTTACCAGATCTGAATGATTTTGCACTTTTCATAATTAACGAACGAGATCTAATTCTCTTGCCTCATCTATTTTCATCGGGACTACTTTTTCTTTTGTAACAGGTTTTTCTGCATGCCAAGTTAACCGGTAAGGAAATGCAGGTACACATAATGCACTCCAAGTGCATTGAACTTTAAAGGCCGGAAAATTTCTCTGACCAGCCATGCACACCTAGTTTTGCCCACTTTTATTTGTTATCTTTAAAAGTCTAACATGCGTATTTATATATATATAGATATACATATATATATGTATATGTGTGTGTGTTGATCAATATATTTATAAAGTTCTCTTATCACTCACTTATCACGCTTACCTGTGTATATACGTTAGCTGCTCCGAGTATATCTAGTTGATATTCAATTAATACAAATTTGTATGGTTTCACAGAGCAGTTAAAGATCTATGTAGATCGGCCAATAACTAATTGTTATATGTGTTATATGAAAATGGATACACGTGAAATATATAGCGCCCCGTTGTAGTTGCTCTCCATAGATCCGTGTCTATTCTGTCGAACATATGTGGGAGTGCGCTATTATATATGTACACACACACATACACGCACACATGCCCACATTCACACACGTGCGTGTAGCCACGCTAAGTTCAGCAGTGCTGCACAATATCAGTTAAGTGTTGGTAAATGCTAAACTCTATAAAAGGAGTTTTTTGTGCTTTTCAAATATGAAATGAAGGAAACTAAATTTATTTATTTACCTGATGTCGACACTGCTTCATATATAATTTATATTAAATTATATACATTTTTTATGTTGTGTTTATTTGTTTATTTTGGTTATTTGGCTTATTATTTTTATACAAGTCATGCTGTAGTAACAGCCAAACTCGTGTTTAGAGACGTTTTTTTTTTTCAAATTGCAAAAGCTTTTGACTTTTGCATTTATATAAAATGTATATAAAATCTTTTAAATGCCAAATCTTTTCAGTTAAATTAGGAGAAATTGTATTTAATAATAATGTTAACTGGAAAGCTGAGCTAACTGGCAAAGTTAAGAGCATTTATTTATAAATTTAATTTTGTTATGCCAAAATACGTATGCTCTCAAAGGTCAAGGTAAATGTTCTCAACCAGGCAAAAGATTAAAATTAGTTCATTTTATGTTTTTTGAGCTCATGTATAATAAGAAAAATAAAAATAAAGAAGTGATAAGCGCTACTACAGATCCAACTAAGTCAATAGATTATGACCAAGCCTACTTATTATTATTTGCTCGAAGACCTCTGTGCGTCACATACTTATCAGATTTATAACACCTTATCACACTGCATTGTGCGGGTCAATAAATACACTTTTATGTACCCACCTCCAGCATTAGCCAGTACATAAAATAATAAAAATTTTATGGTGTTTGCTTTTGAAAATAAAAACGTTTGATTAGTGATTAAATGTTTTATCGTAAGGCGCTTATATATCAATTCTGTAAAGCGTCTTCAAATTCGTTCATAATTTGAATTATGGGATCATTGATGTATTTGCGCACCTCCCAGTTAGTCGCAAAGTCGCCATGATTCCACAAGGGATCTTCCATATGATGCATCACTTTGTTGGGCAGAGCTTCAGCCAATCGTCGAACATCTTCTACTGCGGCCATTTCATCGTTATCCGCGTACCACAGATGCGTCTCACAGTTAATTAGATTGGTTGGGTAATCAGGAGGCACTTCCGCATTATATGCAATCAAATTCTTCTTAGCGCCAAAGTCGTAGAGCCTGAAGTGTCCCGACTGCTGTTCCTGTAGATAGTGCAAGAACTGATTGGTGGAAACACCTGCGGGAGTGGTTACAGCATTGATCGCAGTGGCAGTCTACGGAAAAAAGTTATTCAATATTGAATCTCTAGATCGACTTGAGGCTAACCGAATTGGCGCGTCCTTTGTTGCTGATGTTATGCAGCTGCTTGCAGTAATTGAGAAACCTCGAGTCCGGTCCGCAAGTGTTGTAAAGGAAGGCCAGTAAAAAGTCATTGTAGGGCAGAAACTCTTGTGACTCCAACATTAGGGCATACACAGTCCGATGCCCCAGATAGGGTCCCGTCGCTTTTGCCAACAGACTGCCCATGTTGTTCATGTAGGCAACGGGAGCCAGCAACTGGGATGTCTTTATCTTTGCATTGTACTCAGGACGTGTGGACATGAGCGCTAGAAAAACGGTCGTTCCCTGGGAGTGTCCAACGTAATGAATGGCTTCTTGCCCCTGTCCGTTTGCCTTTAATGCATAGTCGATCATGGCCGCAATATCGAAGTAGCCAATTTCATGCCAGCTAAAGCGCCAGAAGTAGGGATGCTGCGTGGACAGCCACGTGTGATTCCGGGAGTAGGTATTGCCGCGTGCATTACCTATCCACACATCATAGCCGGCGTCAACTAGTTGAAAGGCCAAAGCATTATCCGGACCCATCGAGATCCAATTGTCGGAGCTGCCTGATATGCCATGCTGCATGAGCACAATGGGGCGATTGGTTTGCTGATTTTGCAGCTTATGTGAATAGGGTATGCGGAACAGTCCAATTATATAGCCATCCTCGGTGGGCACATGATGCAGTTCCGCCGGATATCCATGAGCCCTAATGCGATCATCCTGTGGAACTGTAACTGATAAGCTTTCTGCCTATTTATATATAGCTTTCTACTTGCTGTTTTAAGTCTGGGATTCAGCTTAAGGTGTCCCTCTGGATCATTGAAGAGCTGATAGAAATCGACACCATCTAAATTAAATGTGTCTGATCCAGGTGGTGCACAGTGAGCACCTGTACAAAGCCATAGCAACAGTAGAGCAACGATGAGGCGGTTCTTCATGTCGACACGGGACTGCCGATTCCTAATATAAGGCACGCCTAAATGAATGCCATAGCTGAACCTTTGAGTCTAATCTGCCGATAAGAGTTAATCGAAAGCCGTGTAATAAAACTCAAGTGGATAACAAAGTCATTGTTCTAAAAATACTTTAATACATTATAAGAGAAAACAATATGTATGTATATTTAAGATTCAACAGCCCACTCGAGCTGGAATGCGTTTTATTTGATGATCACCGCCGACCTTGAGCACCGCTGACATGCCCTGCACCGTATGTGCCTCGATGTGGCAGTGATAGCTCCAAAAGCCGGGATTATCAGAGATGAAGCGTAAAACCACGTAGCCCAGTCCGGGTACCTGCACAGTGTCCTTAGCCACAGCAGCATAGTCATCCGACAGACGAGGCAGACGTCCTCGACGATCCAGTTCGCGGATCTGTGAATGTATTAAAGCCATTAGAGATTCATTTTATTTAGTTGGTTAGGCCTTCTAAGCACTTACATTTCTCAAGTCGTTCAGGTTACCCAGCACTCCCTGCCCGACCAGACGGAAGGTGAAGCCATGTATGTGAATGGGATGCGTGGGCTCCATATGATTGGCCACAACCATTTCGATGGCCCGGTATGCAGGCAGGCGTATGACATGAACACCCTCGCATAGCTCCCGCGCGCAATTGCGTCCTTGTGCGGCCAGCGAGCTGCGATTGCTATAGTAAACGTCGTCCTTGTACAGATGTCGTCCTTGCAGCAACGAAATGCCCTGTGAATTGTAACTAATCTCATCGATCTGGAAGAGTAGTTCACCATTGGGTGCCTGTCGTGTGCTCAGACTGGAATAGTGTGTCAAAAACTTGGTATATCTGGGCCAAGGAACCGGCTCGACGGAGCGCAGCGACAGAGTGCCCACATCGTTGTCCTTGTTCAGCTGCCGCAACGCTGACAAAGAATCGTTCAACGGCTTGAAACGAAAGTCATTGATGAATAGCGGTGGCTCGTCCTGATCTCTGGCCTGACGACTTTCCAGTATACCACCCTGTGGTAGCTCACTGCGAGCGGCTCCCCGATAGCTGAGCACCGCGCCCTGGTAGAGCTTACGATCCTCACACTGCTCATAGCCGCGGACGCGTATCCAATAGTTCTTGGTATATTGATTCGCCTCCAATACAAAGTCGAAACGCTCCGCTGAGGTCAGAAAGAAGCCGTCAGCCAGCACGGGCTCAATGTCATTGCCATCGGTGCTGATGATCAGCAGCTTGTGCTGCTCAATGGAGAACTCGACGGGGCAATTGAAGATGCCGTTGAGCACAATGCGCATGCGATAGCGATACCCAGGCGTCACACGTAGCCGCTCATAGCGGTGCCTGGCATCCTGATCAGGTAGTTGGCTCAGATGATTGCGACCCTTGCCATTGATCAGTATATTGCGCACCTGCTGTATGTCGTAATCGTAGAATATATCCTGAACCATCAGGGCATGCTCCACCAGATCGTAGTCATAGAGGCGAGCATGGGGGTTAGTCTGATGTGGCTGGCGCACTATCAGATTGCCAGCCACACCAAAGCCTCGCTGCCAGCCCATGTGGCTGTGGTACCAGAGACTGCCACTGCGATCGACCTGAAACTCGTAGCGACACACTTGGCCCGGCTCCACCGGATACTGAGTGACGTAAGCCACTCCATCCATGTCGGGACTGCGACTCATATGGATGCCGTGCCAGTGCATAGTGGTGGGCTCATTCAGATAGTTCAGCACATCGATAATCACAGTGTCGTTCTCACACAGCTCTATAGCTGGGCCGGGCACCATCCGATTGACGGCCATGACGGGCGTGGCAACGCCATCTCCATAGATGCAGTTCTCGTCGGCACAGGTGCGCTCATCAAACTGGCAACGTTGGCATTCGGGACCCAAGCGACGATAGTTATGCACCACCAGCTGGTAGTAGCAGCTCTGGCTCTGGCCCTGCTGGCAAACGCGACGACAGGGATGACGCTCAAATCCACTGAAACTGGATATATCCACCTGACCGTAGTCATCCTTCAGCTGCAAGCTTGGCCTCGAATGACTTTGCTTATTAGTTTTATTGTTGCGCGACCAGGGAAACGTGGGCCAATCAATTTTTGCACTCGACTCCAGCTCCAGCTCCAGCTTCCCCTGAGCCTGTGTCAGCTCCACACAGCACCATATCAAACAGATTAGATGCCAACTAATATGGCTTTTACTTTTCGTAGCAATCATGACAAACCTCAACCTTCAACTGTGCCCAAAGGCCTAGTGCAACGCCCGAAGAAAGTTTGGAAATCCAAGCCAAGAAGATTTGGGCATGCGCAGCACGTGCAAATTTTAAAAGCTGAGCTGCATTTTATTTGCTTTTAATTGATTGAATACTAAGAACGCCCAAATTATTTGTGATCGATTCACAGATACTCTGTATGAAAGAGCTAAAAACTCGCTAACTAGAGTTTAAAATTCAAACTAATCAGGTTTGTTTAGTTAAAGTATATGTCGAAATGATTTCCATCCTTCGTTACTTCCTTTCTTATTTCCTTCCTTGCTGCCATCTTTCCTTCCTTCCTTTATTCCTTGCTGCCATCTTTCCTTCCTTTATTCCTTAGTTACTTCCTTCCCTCCGTCTTACTTCCTTCCTTCCTTTCCTCATTACTTCCTTCCCGCCTTCCTTCCTTCCGTTTCTCCTTGCCCTTTGAAATCTCAATATATTATATATGAAAAACTTTTCTTCAGTAATTTTTCTAGTATAATAAATTTAAGTGCAGCTTGGGAATGTCTTAATTGATTGATTCAAAAATAATTTAAAATTTGAGTTCACTTAATTTTTAACAAAAATTTAGTGGTATATTATACATAAGTAAACAAATTGTAAATTTAATAATTTACTTTTAATTTATTTTTTATTATTTTACCTAAAAAAGCAGATGAAATATTTTAAGAGTTTATCAAATTATTGTTTAGAGTTTAGAATTTAGGTCTAAGCTTCCGGCATTACTGGAACAGCGGGTGAAGTCGACACGGTCGGTGCGACGATGGATGTACTCATTAGACTTATAACACCACAGGCTATGGGTGCACCAACGGACATCTCCTCGTTCTGGTAGGCTAAGGCATTGGGCACGGACAGCGAAGAGGAGAAGACCTCTGCATTGAGCGCTGTGTTCAGATCGATGGGCTTGCTGTGTATCACGACGGCACGGCCAACGATCCCATTGAAGCCAAAGAGCTGTAGATAGATGCTCATGAACACGGCCGAGATTGTGCCGTCTGGCTTGACCTCCAAGTTACCCAGCTGTCGAGAGGAATGTGATTTTCATGTCTGATCTGGATGACACCGACTTACGAAGTTATTGGGAAACTGTCCGCCAGTTGACTTGCAGCCCTCGCTGACATCTCCATATGTGTGTATGTGCAGTGCGTGCTTTCCGGGTGGCAGCCCAGTCATATTGATGGTCACTTTGATGTCACTGTTGTAGGGCAGCTGCTGGAAAGTAATCATGCCGGATGCACCCGGCACTTCGCCATCACCGATCAGTATGGCGCCCGCCTGCCACTGTGGCACCTACGAGGAGTTAAAGAGTTAAGATTTAAAAGTGATTAAGAGCCGTCGCACAGTGGGACAGGAACCTACAAAGGAGTAGCCCACGTATGCTGGCTGCGGCTGAAGCAGAGGACTAAGCAGTGCGGCGGCACCGATGCCACCAATGACCGGACCAATGCCAGCCAGTGGCACCGTCATACGCTCGTAGCGTTTCACCTTTGTGCCGGACACCACTTTAATATCGTCGATGCGGGTCAGATTAGCTGGCCCGGGCCTCAACCGATCCAGCAAATTTTGCGCGCTGCCAGGCACAAAAATGCTATTTAATAGCATAAATGCCAATATGGGCTTGTAGCGGAACATCGCGGTTAATTACTGTGTGTAATCGCGTTCCTATAGAGGATCCACTGGGAAATGCTGCCGTTGTCTGTGAATCTTTTGACCCAACTGAACCGAATGCACTGTGTCGCTTGCCATTTAGACGACTTCGACATGGATTTCATGCTGATTGAACACGTTAATTGCTTCTGCTGCGTACAGTTCGCTATATCAGTCGTATGGACGATGACTGCTCAATGGCAATCGAGTGTCGCGCGTGTGATGCTTGGTTACCTGTCGCTCTGTCTGTCCATGGGCGTAGCTACCAATCGCCATGGCAAGCATTGCAATTCTAATTAGCCTCAATGGAAGGAAATAATAAAAATGTAGTAAATTAGAAATAAACAAAAAATCAAAATATTTGCACGTTCGTAACCCCCTTTTTGTCCCAGTTATTGACGTCCCTGTATAATGGGAATATAATTTGGAAAGGGATGAAAAAACACATTTAAAAATTAGATCAACATTAATCGTATTGCAAGCGAATAGTTAAGCTCTACAAAATTGAACGATATTATATATTTTTTATCTAGATGACACAATTGTTTAACTTTTTGATTGCTCCCCATTAACAATTAACATATGGATTCGTTTAGGTGCTCTACAATATAAGTTAAATTAGGTGACAGGCAAGTGGGGAGGGATAAGGAAAGCTATGGTAGGTTCTATTATAAATAAATATCAATATTGGTAATTAGTATAAGGCTGCCTATTAGCTTGAGGCTATATTGCTTTCGTCCAGCTGGGTCAACGGAAACCTCCGCGTTGAAATTCACCCTGATAACGTTGATTGTAACCGCCGCCGACGCCGGCGCCTCCGCCGTAGCGTCCACCATTGTGATAGGCCCCGCCGCCACCACGGCCCCCTGCCTGAGGATTCCAGCCAGTGCCTTGTACACGTCCGCTGTTATTGATAAATTGGTCTCGCTGCTGTTGCGGCTGTTGCTCCTGAGGCTGTTGTTTCCAGTTTTGGCCTCCACCACCTCGTCCGCCACCACGTCCACCTTGTCCGCCACCGCGTCCGCCACGAAAATTACCGGCGCCACCGCCAAAACCACCACCACGCCCGCCTCCAGGTCCGCCAGCACGTTGCTGCTGCCAGGAAGGCATCTCCGGCGGCGGTGGAGCATGCTCATTAGCACGTCCACCGCGATCAGGCACATTTCCAATCACATGTTTTTGGATTTTAGAAGCCGTGTTCTTGCGCACATTCACCGAACTTGTCTTTTCAATGATTGCCAAATCAGCGCGCGCTGCCAGCAACGCCACAATGTTAGTGTCATTTCCGCCATATTGAAGCTTTTCGATTTCCTTAAGTTTTTGTTGAAAACGATCCCCAATCTCGTTTTGACGATGTTTCATGCTCTCCGACCATTGAAAGCTTTGAACAGTCGCCTCCAAACGGGTTAACATCATTTGACGACGCATGTTGTACTCCGAATCCAGATCCCTGTGCATGGTTTCCAGTACACGCCACTGGCTATCAGTCAATGGTTTGTTAATACTCATCAATGGCTCACTGATCACCGCTGGGTTTGTTTGCTTCAGTCGTTGCACCAGCTTAGGGGTCATTCGCTCGAACAGTAATTTTGTATTGATGTTTTTAGGCATTTCGCCCAGCTGGAGGTCAGTTGTCAACTGTGTCACAGCCTCTTCCAGATGGGAGTCAGTCTTGGATCTCTTACTGGGCGGCTCGACTGGCTGCAACTTCAGCGACATCTTCGTGGCCATTAGCTCTGATGTGAGATAATCAAGGAGATACAGCAGGGATGCTCTTGTTTGGAAACGTTCCGACATTGGCACCGCAACGAACTGCCGGTAGGGACATCCCAGCTCAGTTAACATCAGTGACAGTTCGAAAACAAATTCGTCATGGTCCTTACTACTGGAGGCTACATGCTCATCGGTCTTCCTGAGCACATGCAATTGATTGGCAAGCCAATAAATCACTTCGCGCAAGTCTGCATTGCCTATGCCACTGTCCAAGGATTGGTTTAGAGGCTTTTGCTCCACATTTTTGTACCCAAGTGCTTCTAAAGAATCTAATATATCCAATTCAAGATCCATTGCCGGCTTTTCCATTTTTTTTTCCAATGTTGTTTTCGTTTTCTTCCAGCTGCCAATCACAGACTGTTGGTCACACTTATTCAAGTGTCACACTTAACAGTGAGAACATTTAACATGTTTACAAATGTAACTAACAGTGTACTAACAGTTGTCCGTTAATCGTGTTCAGTTAAAAAAAATGATATTACCATTTTTTGTCCAGTTGTGTTATGGTTATATGATTTTAGTTTAATATTAATTTAGTTAAGTTAAGCTTAATGGGCTTTTGACTTGTAGTCAATCAAAATATTGAAACTGTTCGATAGTTTGATTAAGATTGTTCTATCGCTCATTTATCGAATTAGTTGCTTAGAGACGAATGAAAATTGGAACTTAATGTTGTTTAGATATCATGATACTTTTTATATGCGCGTTTTCAAAAGCTTTGTTATCGCTGTCAATATTAATCGATTTTTTAACATAGGCTGTTTACAGTAGTGTGATTTTTCTATGAAGTTCACCTAAAGATCTTTATGCATATGCATTCATATAACTTCATTTATTGTAGTTTATCAGCTTCAATATAATATATATATATATATATATATATATATTTAATATACTGATTATATTTATATATATTTGAATATATATATATATATATAGATATTCATATATATATATATACATATATATGTATGTATTTTTTGTGTAAAGCAGGAAGTTTTAGGATTCTCAAGAGTTGCACCTTTGGCGCCACAAATTTTACATTTTTGTTTTACGATTTTCTTTTTGTTATACATACAACACTTACATAATTACTTAAAATGAACACACATATTTAGCTAATTAATGTATACAATCATAATCGTATTATTCAGTTACTTCATGTCTTCCAAAAGGCTCTAAAACTAATAGAAACAAGATAATGAAAACATACACAGATACAATTTTGTTTGCTAACACAAAAAATGATACAAAAGATAGAAATAAACAAAAGAAATACAAAAATTGTTTCGCTGCCGCCGCTACGCAATGGCACAAAAATAAATCCGCGCAAGAAGTTCAAAATCAATACATTCGCTTAAGTAAAGCTATACTGATTATCAATGGCGCGTCCGGTGCACTCGGCTCCTGATGTTGCACCGCTACTGCCGCTGCTGCCAGGCACACCACCGCTACTACCGCTGGGGCCCGCATCACCCGCATGTCGCGTTGTACCAACGCCCTGATGGGCTGCCTGCAGTGAAGCATTGGATGCGCGTAGATGCGGCTGATCGAGAAATCCTTGACTACTTGGCGGAGAATTGTGTACGGTCAGCGATGTGGGATCCAAATGGAAGTAGACTTGCTCCGGAAAAAAAACGTGTGTTGGCTCCTGTGGCAGTTCGATTTCATTTGTCTTTAGGCGAACACTTAGATTCATGGTGATCACTTCGTTGCACTGTAATTGATTATATTAATTAGATGTCTGTTTCCAAATGGTTTCATTTTATAGGAACAGCTTCAACACGAAACATGCGACAATTAAAAACGCATTCAAAATACACACAATAAACACGAATGAAAATTAATGAGTATATCAAAAAAATTTAACAAATTACAAAATACATTTTTTTAAAATATAGATATAAAATTTCACATTTGTCATACTAATAAACATTTTTTACCAAGACAATTGATAGTATTTTTTATAATCTTTTCATTTATATTATATACCTAAGCTGTAATACATTGGCTAAAGGAAGTATACCTCTTTCTGACGTTTTATAGAACTATGTTGTTAAGCTATCTTTATGTCTGGATTCTTGTTTATGAAATAAAAACTTGCAAAATCAAATAAAGGAAAATAAAAACCATCACTGACACTGAATTGACTCCAAAATTTTGGCTATCTCACATGTCTCGGCGATGGATGTCCATTGCTATTGCCAGAGCTGCTAGCAATGTTGCCCGTTCCAGTGCTCGCATCGGTGCCCGGCTCATGCGCAGTAGCGGAAATTGTTGTTATGGGAGTGTTATCATTCAGTCTGCTCGTGTGATGCACCCAATCAGTGAGCGTCACATCCGATGTGCCACCCGATTCGAGTGGTATAGGATTATGTCGAAAATGTTCGAGCATCTCTTGAATTGTGGGGAACCATAGATGCTGCACTCGGCACTGGCCCTTTTCGGAGATTGTCAGTCGCAGATGCTTGGCACGTCCTTGAAAATTGAATGTGAGCACAAACTCGCCACGCCGTGTTTCGCTTTGGCGGACGAGAAAGTAGCCATGGCCCGCTGCCTCCGACTGCAGCACCATGCGTGCGGCTTCAGCGCGCGGTAACGTGCCGTGGAACCATGGAAACAGTCGCATCTCCGCTGTTAAATCCACCACATTTATATCAGTTTCAGTTTCCACCAGTTCATTGCCATCGAAATTGCTGGAGGCGGACAACCGCTGCTCCCCCCGCTCACCACGTGTCGGTCTCGAGGGTATTTCGGGCGGAGTGCTACTCAGTTCATTACTAGTCTGGGAAATGGCATTTAAATCGTTGGCGGACGCTGCATTCGCGTTACTGTTCCCGGCTGATGCAGCGGCCAAAGCGCTGTCAGCTGACTGTGAATTGACCAGATTGCCATTGGAGCCACCCAGCAGAGAGCCACCTTGCTGCTGATATTGGGGATTTTGTATGCCGCCCAATGCACCACTAGCTGAACTTGTTGTTGGATTCGGGTTTGTTGTCACCGGCGAAGTTTGCATAGCTGCCGCAATGACGTCTGAATCCAGAATAGGTTGCTGAGTTGGTGGTGTGCGCATGCAATAGCGTATTGTAGCCAACCAGCTGCGCATGTCCTCGGCGCTGTCTGCTTCGATTACGTATTCCATGTTGTTATCGGCCTTCAGCACAAACGTGTTCATTCTGTCTGGCATCTCCAGTGTGGTTGTTTCACGTGCCTCCGAAATAAGAAAGCAGAAGACGCCGCTTCGAGGTTTTGTGGATCTCGGGGGCGTGTAGAATTCAAGCATGTAGCCGCCCACGGCCTTGACAAGTGCAAGGCGGCATTTCTCCCATTTTTGTGTGCCCGTTGTCTGGTCTAAGCTCTCGGCTGTCAAATTGTTAACAATGCCCTCCTTGCGGCACTCCACTACTATTTTAGCCAGTTTGGTTTTGTTGCTGTGCTTGCTGCTGCCAACACCGTCAACGTCGTCCGAGTTCTTGTGAAAGAAACCCTGCAAAAATAAAAGTTTCTAAAGTTAAACATTGATTTATCTGTTAGTTTCAGATCATCCGCTCACCTTGCCCTTCCGAAGGCCTTTAAAAGAGAGGCGACGTAGCAGCGATTTGGGAAACAGGCGCGACACTTCGTGCTCCTCCGTATCAAAATTACCGGCACCGCCGCCGCTGGCATTATATAATGAGTCTGTCTTTAAGTTGTAGAGCTGTCTAACGTACTCGCTTTCGTAGTACTCCGAGAAGTTTTCGACAAACTTTTGGGAAAAACTTTGATGTGGTATATTGCGAGCCACGTCCGGCGGCAAGTTCCCATTGATGTAGTTAATACACGCCTTTGCAAAGTCGCTAGCTGCAGCTCGCGCATGCCGATCACAAAACTCTTCCCAAGTTGTGCCCCCATATGTATAAAGAACTGTGCTGCTCCCTGCAGTTCCAGTTCCAATTGGGCCTGGTATCAAATCACTGCCACCGGCGGCACCCAAGGTTGTGGTCGGTCCAATGTAGCCGCCAGCGCTAAAAGCGCTCACATTGGCAGCTGCGCTATTTCCACCCATATGCACAAAGGACTGCTGCTGCCTGTGTGGGTGGCGCCGCGGCTCCGACTCACTACGCCCGTTTATATTCAGTTTGATGCAAGAGTTACCCAGCGGAAGTCAATGCTGCTGCAATTTTCTCTAAAAAATAGGAATTAAATAAATTAAAATTTTTTTTAAAATTTAAAATTTAAGATACATTTTTTTAACTCTTAAGTTGTTTTGAACGGATTATACACTAAATATCTTTTGTCATTTAACAGAGTTTCCCGCTGGGTTTATGAACAAGCTCGTGAAATGAGCGACGGCACTCAATTTGCGTTTACGTTGCTCATTTTGCGCGTACTTTACGTACTTATTCTTACGTACTAGGTTTATTGTAAATGCTACTTTACGTAAAGCGTAGGCGTATTAACGTATCTACACATATACACACCGCATATCTGTGAATGTATGTAGTATGGATGTCGGTGTGTGATATAGCTGCTGTTTTGATTTTGTTTTGCAAATTTGATGATAAGGTGGAGTCAGCGTATTTTGAGTCAAGGCCATTTTAATGTCTTATATTATTTCTTCCCAGTTCGTTTTTGGAATGCAACTCACATATAGCATGCGCATGTGTGTATTACACCTACACATTAATTCTCGGCGTTAAATTTTTTCACTGATTCAACTTACCCCAATTTGTTAGTTATTTGGTTGTTTACAGCAGCACCATGCACTGTTAGATGTGCTTTTCACTTTTTTTATACAATTCTTCACTTTTCTTTTCTGATATTATTTTATTTTCCAGAAGAAAAACACAACGCAATATAATCGTTAATCGTCCAAACACCAACAGTATCTGTAATCGTATTTTACTTATTTATCGGCACACCTCCATTACGCCTTCATTATCGAACAATTCGATTGAACGAATATTCGATGCTAAGTATTTTTAACTTTTAGCGCCTTTAGACTTTTTATAATTTAATTTGAATGCACAACGGTTAACGGTACTATAACTGAAAATAGATGACTATAAGAGTTCTTAGAACTTGTGACACCGTTTCTCATCCTCAATTTAAAATAAATAAAAGTGATTTCATTAGCTTGAATGGTTTATGTTCAAATCTCACATTTTTATTGTTTCTATATGTCTCGAAATTGCATTTACTTAAAATTAATGTGTAACTACTATGCATATATTTATAATTATGTAATATTGTTGGTTTTCTTTTTTGATCGTTATAAATAATTAAAATTTTTGAAACTTAATTTGTGAAACACACCAGTGCAACATTTTGTTTTGTTTCATTCTTTTTTTTTCTTTTAAATATTTCTTATTTAAAACGAACACATGCATTTTGGCAAAACATCAGATTCATTGTATAAATGTACGAGCGAAAATTTTAAAGGCCATGGAAATGGGAATACAAATACGTCTGATTAAAGCAAATCGAAATATGATTTTCAAATGCGGGCGCACTTACTTACTATTATTTGTGATTGTGGTTATTAAAATTAAGTATTTACAGAAAATCTCATACTGTTTGATAATGGATTCAAGTTGGAAATTTTGTGAATTTGTTTTCTCGATCATCATTCTGTATGGAAATGTTTAAAATGCATTTAAAACTAAATGAACAAAGTTGGTAATCAAACAAAAAAAACATTAATACTATAGTATATGCAGGTTAGTATGTAAATAAGAATGCTGCTTAAATCTGTATGAGATAGAAGTGCATCGGAAATCTTTCATTTGCATGAATTTCAATAATACGCTCAGCACAAACGGTTTTAATGTTTCGCTTTGTGTAACAATAGACCATTTTACATAAAATCATACATGTACATTTTTGTGGTGTTCAAAAAATCTTTCCACTTATTTTAAAACTACGTACACTTATTATTCGGTTTTGCTGTTACTTCACTAAATTAGAATTACCTAACTTAAAAAAACTTGATACGTATAAGTAAAGAATACGTATGTTATTAAGAGAGAATTCATAGTATTTGTATTGCTGTGTTTTTCTCTGTCTACTTTTTGTTTCGTTTTGTTTTTGCGTGTGTGATCTTTTTACTTCTGTTTTTAGATAGAATACACTCAGACTTCCAATTGTTTTGATGGTTGATGCGCAATAAACGGTTCACTCCACATCCTTCGTAAATCACCCTAGGGAGACAACATATTATATTATTATTGAACAAATTTTATATAGAGAGATTTCACATACCTTCAAATACGCCATCAGTAGCAGTGGTAATAACGTGAACGGCACTAAATAGAGTAAGGCAGGTTGTGCGGCCTTAAACACCTCCGAACTAACTGTTGCTGTTAACAGACCCAGGAAGTAGCTATAAATAAAAGAGTACTAAATTGAAAGACCATAAACTATAGTCATTCCATTCGTTGCAGTTACCCCAATAAGGAACAATGAAAATATGTCAGCCTCGATCCGACGCCCTTTGGCGGCGATAGCGTTGGATCCGATGTGAAGCCCTGTGACTTTTTATAGGCATCATATCGTAACACAAAGCACAGCAACAGTCCTGGCATAACAACATCGCCTAGGCCGAGCATCGAAAAGTGTCCTGTGTTGTGTATGCTGGGGAAAACCAGTTTGCCCGGCAAATTTAATTTCGGCGTGTCCCGCACAATGCCGCCCAAATTCAATTTGCGCGCCACAATGCCAACGGGATTCTCGGCGGGTCGTGTGGCCACCTTGACCATCACGTTTGTGCTGAATATGTACGATGAGAGAAACACCCAAAATACGTCATATATCAGCAGACCAGTCAACAGCAGCGTTGACACCTTCAAGCTTGGCAATCGCACGAACGCAATGAAGGCAACACACAGACCCATGCCCATGGCTAAAATGGATTAATGGTTACATAAAGAGATAAATAAATTGAAATATCGAGTAGCTTCATTTAGCGCACCATCCATTAACAGCCAGTGACCAGTTAGCACCCAAACGCACACAATTGACACCGAGAGCGTGAAGCTGAATAGCTCCGCTGCCGTAAAACGTCCACAGATCCCAAAGGAGAAGCGTTTGCCATCCGTGCAGGGGCGTATAATGTACTGGCACATCGGCAGCAGCAGGAATGCCAGCGCCACAGTGGCAATAACTGTAAATAAATAGTTAATGTGAGCAGGTAAACAGATTATAAATAATATGCTCTACTTACTGGCTGTACAGACGGCGAACAGCAGCTGCATCGAGTCGAAAAAGAAGAACATGATGAGCAGCGATATGGAAGCACCCAGGGGCAGGCACAGAGCATGCATTGTATCCAGCGTGGCAAACTTATCCGCTACATCAAAATTCGAGTCTATTAATATTTGATATTGCAAGTCGATTAACATTAGTAACATATGATATGATATTTACTGCTAAGTTTAAGTCTGAAGCGTAGTTGTTTACTTTTTAAAAAATATATAGAATTAATTGTTTTTTAATTTCTGAATTACAAACAAATAATCAGAAATGAAATCAATGCTTTCATAAATAAATATGAGGAAACAGTTTTATAATATATGTATTAAATTATATTAAATATTATATTACTTACTTGGCTCCTTCTCGACTTGCTCGCCAGTTAGCAGATTCGTCATAGATTCATTGCGCTTCTTTGCTTCTCGCTCCCGCGCCTCCTGCTCAATGTTGAGACTGCGAAAGCTGCCATAGACAATCAGCAGCATCGATATTAGGCAGGTGGATACACGTGACGAGTCCATCACGCTCGACACAGTCCAATGGAGTTCACGATATTCTGAGCCAGCTGCTGCCGCTGCTGCACCGCCGCCGACACTGCCGCCACCAACGCCGCCACCACCAGTTTGCGCGCCGGCGCTGCCGTGCGACATGCTCGGTCAATGATAAGCGAAAAGATGGCCGCTGCCGCTGCCGCTGCCGCTGCGCAGGAGACTAAGCGTTCGCTGAGTCGGAATTGGGATCGAATTCGGTATCAGTATTAACTATGAATTGTTATCAGCGCGGGCAGCTGCCACTGCTTATCTCTACTCTCTGCTGCTGCTGCTCCTGCTGCTACGTTGTTGTCTCTGCGAGGCCGCTGGCTGCAATAAAACTAAAATTTGATTTGGTTTATTAGAATTGGAATACATATGTATGTGGTGCGTGTCTGTAGAAGAGCTGCTGCTTCGGTAAATACCAAAAACTGTTCACTATTTGTGTGTATGCGTCTGAGGTCTCTTGTTATGTTGTACTTGTTTGCATTAGGCTATTTGTCTTTGTTTCTAAAACAACTTTAAACAGCTGCCATGGCACAGAAGTTGTACACACACACACGCACACACACTCCCAATTAAGAAACAAACAATAATAAATTATATGATTTTCGCTGCGTACCCGTTTAACGCGCATAAGACCTCAAAATGTGAAACATCAACGGAAAGGTTAACTTTCATGCGGGTTAACTTTTACACCCTACCACAAAAGCGGAACGGAGCAGGCCAACAACTGTTGCCGGTGTGTGAAAATAAAAACGGGCCTAAGCACAAAGAAGAAGGCCATAAAAAGCGGCTGGAATAAATTATAAAAGTATTACCCAGTTTCTGTTATGCTTTGCCCACTTGACGTTGTCGCTGCCGTAGTCAAAGTTGTTGTTGTTGTTGTTGTAGTCAAATGTTATTGTTGCAGCATATTCTATGACATATTTACACACACTTCCCGAGCTTTTGTTTAAATATCCAGCATTGTTAGTAAGATCAAAAGGTATGCAGTTTTTGTCAACTTTTAATTATTGATTAATATGGTTTGAAAGTAACTGATATATCTTGAGCTACAGTTCAGAAGCAGGTAAGCAATGTATAGAATCGGGCTTCTTCAAAAACAGGGTATAACATGGTCGAGCACACAATTTGAAGTTGTAACAACGCTCTCTATTGGGTTGTTGCACTCTGCTATGTTAATGCACTGCTACTGTTAATGTTGGCAGCAGCGCGCTGTTAATGATAATAGAGCAATTCGTTAATAGAGAAATGAAGCACAAGACAAAAGCGAAACAGTTGCCAACAACTTCCTAGCTAGTTGTCTATTGTTGTTGTTGTTTTCATCGTTGCAGCGGGTTGCCGTTGCGCGGACTAAATAATGTGCTTTGTTCGAAATGCAAAGTGTAACATGCTGTCTGTCGGTCTGTGCGTGTGTGTGTGGGGCATGCAAATGATTGAAATGTCTAAATGTGTGTGCCCCCCTTTTCAATGCAACAATTTAACTGTTCCCACACGTTGCACGCTTGTTAAAATTATTGAAGCGAAGAAGGGAACGGGGCAGGCAGATTATCAGGCAATTAGATGTCATCTTCTGACGGGACAGAAAGGGGCTAATTGGAATTGTATTATGTGACGAAAAGCCAGACGAACACAGTCTTAATTAATTAAGGCAAATTAAGAAACCACTCTCATCAAATAAACACACACACACATCATAAGTTTACTTTCTAATTTAACATGTGACTAATTATAACTTAAAGTACAAAGTAAATGGTCAGCTGTGGCCGGTACTCTAAACAAACTGCTTATACGGAAGGTGAAAGTGAAATTTGTCTATGGGAAAACATGCTGAAACGAAGCCAAAAGTCTATGTGTACAGTCTAGGCCGCATGGCTAGAAACACTATATCATAACACTCCTCAATACTATTATAATAGTATATTTACCTAACATAAATAAATTATTTTATATTAAAAACATTACATTTTGTTTAAATTAATAATTAATTTTACGTATGCGTATGTATGTATATATTTTTGGTTATTTTTTACAATTGTATGCGATTTGTATGCACGTTGCTGAGTTTGGCTGTTTAGCTTTTGGTTTACTTCAATCGTAATTTTGCCAAGCAACACACACACACACATACATATGCAGGCGCACACACACACACGCATACAATAAACAATAACAACACTCGGCGGCCCGCAACTGGATTCAAATGCAACACTTGTGAAATTTTATGTACACAACATCAAACACCGTAACAACAACAGCAACAACAAACCTTAAAGCGCAGGCAAAGCTTTTATTTTTTTCTCGCATACAAAATGCTTAGACTCCACTTGAACGGCTGCCGCACCGCTCCACTGCGTAACAAAATTACAAGAAACACTCACACACACACTCACTTTTGGGCCATGTTTGTGTTAAACAAGGACAGGGGCGGAGGTGTAGCAGGGTGCAGGTCTTTAGTTACTTAAAACTTAGAGGCAAGCAGCAGCAGCCTGTTTCAATTTCATTGCACCTCGAAGTTTTATACACTATTTGTGGGGCACAATTGATGGGTGGGGGCGGTTGTGTGTAGCGCCTGCTTGGGGGATTGCCAGTGCTTACTTTGCCCTGTGCTTCACATTTACATTCGTGTTTGGCTGTGTATTTTGTTTTCCTTTTGTACCGATTTTCTTCTCGTTTAGTGGAAAGCCACAGCTGCTACATGTTTTGTGCACACATTTTGGTTTTTTTTTGTTTTGTGATTAGTTGCAGCGTAATGCACTTTTCACTGGTTACTTAATAGTTCATTTATTACTAATAATGCATTGTTTTACTATTTTTCTTTGCACTCCTTTACTGTTTTTTTCTGATGGAAAAACAACGAACTACAAGTGTGGCCTAACACCGCGAAGCCATAAATGTTTGCTGTTCTTTGGTGATGTTTGCTTATCGATAGGGAAATTATGAAATCGCTCTTTTGTAGGTATCGATTATTTTTTATTTTGATTTTGAGTTATTGAATTGAACACAGTGTTCACTTATCTTATTTAACATAAAATTATTTAACATTTATATTTTTTGGTGAATGTACAACAACAGTGTTGCACAACGTTTAATTCTGGCTTGTAATCGATTAACATTTAACATAACATAACATAGCAATAAGTTGATTAAAGGCTATATGTAGCACGGGCACACTGAATCAGACGTGATTGAGAGAGCGCCGCTGATGCTTCGATGTACAAATAAAAATTTAAATTATTGTTAAATGCACCGCGTTTAACGGAAACAAAACGAATAATAGTGATTTAAGCGAAAAGTGTTTTTTAATTGACTGACGAAAACCCGACAAAAAAATTAATTTAAAAAGTGTGCAACTGCGACGAGTAAAAAATTGCATTAAAGGCTGTAGGAGCCTAACGCACATCAGCTTCAGTTTAAAACGGCAGGAAGCCAACGGTGTTGAAAAAGCCGTCTCACTAAACGAAAACTGTGCGAAAAAGTTAATTAAATACCATAAAATGGGTCTTAACGGCTGCTGTTCATGTGTTAAATACTTGATGGTCCTTATAAACATCTTATTTTGGGTAGGTATGCAGGCAAACAACAACAACCGTAACAGTAACAACAACAGAATCAGCCAGCTCACTAATACAAACAGAAACTGGAACATATCAATAGAAATATAGATGGCGCGTTTATAAGTGTATGTGTGCGCGTTCCCAATGCTTTAGCCTGTGCTCGCGCGCACGCTCTAAACGCTGCTGCTGGTGCTGCTGCTCACTCCCTACTCCAATAAACAATGGAAGTTCCGCTGTGGGTGGAGAGTATACAACACCCACTCAGACATACATACACGTTCACAAATAGACAGGCAGACAAGCAGCGAAAGCATCACGCTTTTTTTTACCCCCTCCTTTGTGCTGCTCCCACACATCGAGATATGCTGTTTGTCTTGTTTTCTTGTTGGCCTTTTCCTGTTGGTTTTTTATTTTTGTACGAGTATGCGTGCCTTGTTGTTGTTAGTTTTGAGCACTGCTTCTTGCTACACCTTCATTATTTTCGTTTTCTTATCTACAATAAAAGTGAAGCAACGGCTCATTCAGTGCCTTAACGCCCGTGTGTATCTGTGTACACGCATATACACACTCATACACATGTAGGGGCAGGACCTACATTTGGCGCCTTTTGGGTGCGCCACTCCCCACAAGCCCACGCTCTCATATTTTTACAGTTACTTTCTCACTGAAAGGGTTCAACGAATCGTGTGTGTGTGTGTGTGTGTGTTAGCGTGTTTTTTTCTTTAGTTTTACGCAATTTACTATTTCCACATCGATTCATCGTTTAAATTGATATTTATTTTCTGTTGTGTCTTCCTTGAGTCAAATTTTCTCTTCCAATTTTGTTTTTAATTTTTTTTTGTTATTTTCTTGTTGCTTTTTCGATTTTTCCCTATAGTATTTATTAGTCAAATCTATTTTCGAACAAACCAAAAAAACATTCAGCTTTCATTCTGTGTGGATGTTGATTTTTTCCTCTTGTTGTTGCTGCTGCCGCTGCCGGCGGGAGGAGGTGGGAGATTCTTGTTGTTGGCCACAGTGGTGCAAATTATTTATGAACTGTGATATATATTTGTATGTGAATATGCATACGGGCATTTGAACATGCTGAAAAAATACTAAATAAATATATCATTCGTTGCGTTAATATGATTTTCTTAATTTGATTTTCTTTTTAAAATGATAATTCTGATTATTTGAAATACCCTTCTTGTTGAGTATAGGTAAATATAAATATGTGTTTGTCAATGTATTTAACAACATTAGTTGTATTGAAACATTCATCATATATACTTCATTGTTAAATAATCAGCTCTTAAAACATTTAATTATATTTAATTATGATTAATATGATGATTTAATATGATGATATAATCGAAAATTCTTTGGTATTATAGAGAGCAAAAACTAAAGTCATAGTAAAGATTTGCAATTTTTTGCTGAATATTTGCAACACTGTGACACAGTTTTCCATAGCATTTCCATTTACATCAGCATCGCCGCTGCGAGGCTTCGTGATCAAACGCCACGATTTCAGCTGACGCTGATGCTTTAACGTTCCATTGATACTGTCCGACCAAACGACAGAGCAGCAGACAGATCGGACAGATTGACCAACCGCCACAGATGCCGTCATTTAGTTAGAAGCGCTCTGCCAGCCTGGTGGATATTGCTTACGTCTCTCGCTTGCCCGTCAATTAATTTATATGATTTGCTCTGCCCCATCCTCTTCGTCTTGCTCATAATTCACTGTGCTATTTTTCACACAATTATTCATACGTGCGTCTGCATCATGCACCGCCAGTAAAAATTAAGCGATCAAAGTTGCATAAGGAAATTGTGCCGAGGACATTTTTTCTTTTACGATTCTGCCTTCTTTTCTTATTTGTCCACAGTGATGTAGGTCGTGTAAGGAGTTGGCACTTTTATTAACCATTTGGCCTACATTTCGTCTGCACGCGACAATTTGTCTGTTTTGTATGCATCATGTACTTAGAGAACACATACATATGCAACTGATTTTCTACTATTCGCAACATTTGTATTTTAACGCTGTGCGTTTTGTAGTTGTTCCGCTCCATTCATACAAACGGGCATCAGAATGCACTTTGCTTTGACCTATTTTTCAACGATTCTTCTATTCCCATGTCTTCGCGCATACTCTCCCTCTCACTCTCTCTTCCTCTCTCTTTTACTTTAACTCGCACTAAGCGTGCCGAAGAGCGCAATTTAAAGACCACCCGCACTTCAAGTTGAGCTTCAGTATTTGTTTTTGTTTTTAAGCTAACCTAACAGAAATGTAGACACTGTCATTTGGTACAAATGTACCAAATTTGGTACTTTTTGTGGTACATTTTGAACTAATCATACAGTACTGCAAAATATTAAATGACAAGTATTTGTGAGAGTAAATACGTTATTTTGGTACATAAATAAATCAATGAAATAAAATTTAATGAAAATATTTATTTTTTTACTAAAAAAAATATTATTTGATATTACATGAGTTTTAAAGTAACACTAAGAAACTAAAGATTATTAACTTTGCGAATAGTATTATAAAGCCTTGAGTATTGAGTATTGAGCATTGCAGAGTTCTTGTGGTTATAGTTTGCGATATTTGTGGTAAATACCCGCTTTAGCCATAATGTCACGATTGTGTATTAGTGAGAGTATAGTAGGCTGATTTCAACATCGCAAGTGCAAAGTGCGCAAGGAAGTAGGCCGAGGTCAATCTGGTATAATTTAATATGTGTGCTTACAATCATATATAAATACAACTATATTTAACTAATTCAATTGGATACATTTTAAAGCACGGCACTAAAAATTCGATTGCTTCAATGTTTTCAAACAGAAAATCAGAAGGCTGATTTGTTGTAATTACCGTTGCCTGTTGTACAAGAGGAATTTCATTCCCAAAAAGTTGTGTAACTTATGGCGTAGATTAAAACGCATTTGTACGAAAGACTTGCAAGAATTCCAAAAAAAAAACCAGATAAATATTGTACTAAGATATGGGAGTAGTATTGGGTTAAGGAAATAAAAAACAATGTACTGAGATGTTTACATTACAATATGCGTCATAAATTATATAGTAATAAATAAAGAATATAAATATATAATTTATTTACATTCCAAACATATCAAATTTCCATAAAATGTAAAATTAATTTATTGTGAAGTGTATTAGTTGTGCTTAGAAACTAATCATTATATAATAATGTAATGCATTCCATATTAATAATAATAATAATAATAATATTAACAATAATAATAATAATAATAATAATAATAATAATAATAATAGTAATAATAATAATTTAAGAAATTGATAGATTTTAAACCAAAAGCCATCGAGTGTTTGCCTTAGACTATGAGTTTCCATAATAAAGTTTCCTATACTATAAGTCTAATAGAAATCAATTTAAAGACCATTTAGCTACTGGGCATTTTTTTTAGTACATTTACGGAGATAAGTGAGCGGGACTTTATGCAAATTAATTTATATAAAATTGTAGCTGCTCATTAGCAATTTAATCAGCTTTAAGTAATATGAGCAGACAGATGGAAATATAAGCTAACCTATTCGAAGATCTCGTCCCGTGCCTGATAATGCCCAGCCTCTAGATAAGATTATTAATTCACATTCGCATAGACGACTGGTTCAATGTCTTGGCAAAAACAAAAAGAACAAGAAAAAGAAAATAAAATGCGGTTCTTGATTTCGTGAAAACGTAAACACATTCAAACAAATAAACACAAGAGCGTAACGACTTGAAATGCTGAAAACATTTACGTTATAAACTTTGTCTGACTGCGGAAATGATGAGTTACGAGCGAACTGTGTTTCATAATGCCCATCGGCGGATAGAAGACGTTCAGGGGAATACGTTCGCATTCTTGGCACGACTTTTGCTGCCCGCTTTAATTGCCGCCCTCTCTAGTGGGGCGTGTCACACACACACACACATATATAAACATTGCGTCATTGAAGCATTTCGCTGTTAACGTTACGATTGAACAGATTGAGTAAAAAACACACTAAATATGAACAAACGAATGGCTGACCTATATAAAAGATTTATTTTCAAAGACTTAAACGCATTTCTATTCTTTTACAGCTGATCGGCCTGACCATCGTGCTCACCTCGCTATGGATGCTAACGGACCCCACGTTTATGCTATCGATGACACAATCGTATAATCATTATCATATAGCACTCTATGTCTTCCTGGCTATTGGCATACTTATTACGCTGGGCGCATTCTTTGGCTGTTTGGGTGTCTGTCGCGAGTCGCAATGTCTGCTTGTCTCGGTAAGTGTTGCCCAGCTGCAGAATCCAATTACAAAATGCAAAGTGCCACTGCCCACACGCACTCAGCCCA